CGGCTTCGGCTGGGGTAGCTGTTTGCATTCTACCAAAAGCATGGGCCACAAGGGAAGGACATGAGGCAGGGGACATAACCCGCGCTTTGCCGGTTAGCTTCAGCGTCCTCTGGCAAGGAGGGAACGAAGCACACGCACCGATAACCTAAGCCTTCAGCCGCCTCGCGCATCTGCCAGCAAGGTTGCGAGTGCCCAGTGTATGGATGAGGCACACATACAAGTTCAAAGTCAGAATAACAAATGGGAAGGCCACACCAACCTTGTCCACGTAGAGTTGTCGTTGCTCTGCAGAGAGCAAGACCATGTGTCGCACGTTCTCAATCACCAATTGCCCCTCTGCTTTGAGACAATGCTTGAGTCCAGCATCGACGAATTGAGCAGAGCTGTTGCCGACGTAGATGAGATCAAAGAGATCCGCAAAGCGAGCCTTGCTTTTGATGTCATCAGTGGCCGCGAGCGGCAAAAAGAACACTTCCACTCCAGCAACATCTAACCAGGGCCAGGGGCGGCCAATCAGAACGAGTGGAGCTGCTGAACAGGGCGTGGGGTGGTCCTAGCCTACCATCATGAAGCTCTGGCTCCAGAGCCACCGTCTTCAACGGAGCAGGGCTGTCCAAGTCCACTTCACCTGCATGCGTTGATCAAAGACAGAGGTGAACAAATCAAAGCGAGTCCGATGCGAGAGCGGGTTTAGCATGAGGATGCGTCAACGGCAAGTCAAAAGGTAGACATAACGCTTGTACCTTGAACACGTTGGCCGGTCGCCATTTCAGCACACATATCCATCACGTTAAAGAGAGAAATATCACTGGCAGACTAAAGCAACGCCATCCGTACCATCACGTCAGCACCACGCAAGCGGCACGGGGACCAGAAGATGAAAGTAAGGTAACATAATAGAAACGCCATGCAACAGTATTACGCGGCCGCTAAGCAGAGATGCAAGCGCGGGAGCCAGGAACAGGTGAAAGCCTAACCTTGACATGAATGTCATTGCGGCGCTTGTAAAAGTCTTCTTTGTCCGTGACCAGTCCGTACGAAATGTAGGGACCTAGACTCAAGCCAGGCAATGATCAGAAAATGCGGGCGAGCCAAGAGCGTGGATGATCAGGCAACATACTTGTGACAATGTCGCCAAAGTAGGAACGCCGGCCTTCACGTCCCTCCTATACAAGACTCGCCCCAAGAGGGTACAGCGCATGGTCAGCAAGTGCAAATGCAATTCGAAGAAAAATCCATTAACAAGGTGCCAAAGGGTAGGAAAAATGTAGCCGACTGGCCAAACCTTTGTCCGAACAATCTGACCCGAGGCCAGCGTGTAGTTGCTCGCCTCGTAGTCGGCGTCACGATGCTCAAACGCAAGTCCCGAACGCCTGATAGACAGACGCACAATACACACACCAGGTGACTTCAAGCGAGAAATTTTCTATGCTAGAACAAAGCTGCGGAAAGCTTTCAACAAACCGCCAGCGCAGAAATTGGGCACTGCGAATGATGCTGGCCGTGTCTCGCAGGCGCATTGAATAGTCCCAATCAGCGAGGTTATCGCGGTTATCATAGCGCTGTTGATAATATCTGTCGGTGACATGAATGTGCAGGTCGATTAGCGTGCCGTGAGACACTGGGCACAAGGGCGATTGTCCGGCATGGGCTTGATCCAAGCCAGAGGAAACGCGTGAAACATACGAGCGCAAGCGAAAGTCCCAGCTCAACTGCATGGACTCGGTCCTATGACAAGGAGCCAAAAGGGATGAGAAGGCCATGACCTGCCCATGGGGCCTGCACACACTGGCGCAGGAGGTCGTACTCGGCTGGGGCGCCTCGCCATAGCTTGAAGATGGATTCGAGTGCATCGATCTCGCGATACTTCAGCTTGTCCAAATGTACAAAAGGTAGCTGCTGCGTCAGCGCATCACGATCGGTGACCTAGTCGTTTCGTGACGAAGTGCATCGGAGATGAGGTGGCAGCCGTACGAAGAGCCGAACCAGATGTTTTCACAAGCATACCGCCTGGAGCAGATCTGCGGCCAGCTCCTTGAGCAGCGCGTGCGTGGATGCGCTGAATATGATGCGGGCACGGGACACCAGTCATGCGTTCAGTGAGACCATGGATGTAAACATCCCACTTCCGTGTTCTGCGGTAAAGCAGAGCATCAGGCAAATGGAACAAGAGGTAGGATCGCAGATTCCTACCGAACAAACGTGTTGCCGTAAATTTCAAGAAAATGCTCGGCACGGTCCTGCAGGCCCAGATCCTGTTGGTTGGCGGCACGGATTGGCAAAAAGGCAAAACATGTATGTAGTTTTTTGCGCAACGATGCGTCAAAGGACCGATGGGTGACGGGGCTGGCAGACCTCGAGGGGCTTGGTTAGGATCTTCAGAAAGAGGAGCTGGCGTGCATACAACTCCATGGCCGACTCGATGACATAAATTTTGAGCCGCTGGTTTGGATGGCGGCGGCGCTGGGCTAAGGTTTGAAGAAGATGTCGGCCATCACCTGCCCCCAAGAGCAGGATGTTTGTGTCCGAGGTGTCTTCAGATGGCTGTTCAGAGTTGAGCCAGGCTGTGACGGGCTGTGCTGGTGAAAAGCCCCACAGGTTGATGCTGCCCAGTCCCTGCGCCGCACTGGCCCGAGTGCTGGTCGTGGCCATGTTGACACAGCGACTTCAATTCCCACCCACACGCCTCACGCAGAAGCCGGCAACAGCTGTAGCCCCAGCACGAAGGTCCCGAGATCAGGGATGCCGGCTGGGAGGACGAGCGTCGAAATGCTGTTGCTCATCACCAAGGAGCCATCCGTCAGTGTGTCTGGTTGCATTTCACCCTTCCGCCACAACATCTGTTGCACTTGTTCTGGTCTTGGGCATTGTATAACAGTTGGTAGCGCGACCGTTGCAGATCTCGTCGCTGGTGTTTCGACTGTCTCTTCTGCCCTTGCCCATCTCTGCCTTTGTGAAGCGTCCTGGCACTAGTCTCTGCAGCATTACATTCGTCAGCCGCTTTTCTCTGGTTTAACGTAGCATAAGCCACTATAGCCTGTCCGCACCCAGCGCCCTCTCTCTGCCAGTATCCCACAACTCAACACAATCTCTGCCCTAGTCCATGTATTTTGTGTTTGCCTCTCCCCATCCTCTCTCTCTGTGCGCGACGCGAAAGAAAGAGAGAGAGACAGAGAGAGAGAAAAGAGAGAGAGAGAGAAAAAAAGAAAACGGTCAAGTGTGTCTCTGTGTGTGTGCGCGAGAGAGAGAGAGAGAAGTTGGTCGCGGGTCTCGCGCTCTCTCCTTCTCTGTGTGTCGCCGTCTGTGCGTTGGCGGCGAGCACTGCTCGTCGTGTGTCAAGTGGTCAGCGCAGACGGTTGGGCCGTTGGCGGCCATTATGGCGGAGCAGACGCTGCGCAAGCCAAATGGCGGGCCTCAGGCTTCGCGGTTTGAATCCAGCGCTGAATACGAGGCTCTCAAAGAGGTCAAGGCAGCGGTCGAGGTGAGCGCGCACCCATCCATCTGTAGACACCATTGATTCGTGACACCGTGGCACCGTGACAGCGCTTCGAAACAGCTCCACCCCGTTTGCCTGGCTCCACTTCTCAGCTTTTCCCAGCTGCCACGCTCACTTCTCCCGACCCTTTCTGCACCCACCAGAAACGCTACGGCAAATACAATCGCGATGCGGGCATCAGCAACAAGGCGCTGGCCAAGCTGATCAGCGGCATTTGGTCATTCCAAGAGGTATGATGTGCCTGGGGACAAGGCCCTCGCCTGGCAATGACTCTGCATCTGCGCCTCCTTTGACGCTTACTCGGTCCTCATCTTGAATCCAAACGTGTCACGCACGCCTAGACTTACCTTGGCAAGGCCAGCAAAGACCGAGCCATGCTGCGCCTCCCGGTGCGTCATCCTGCCTCTTGGTTGCGGACCTTATAAGGGCTACTTGCCGCCTTGGTCTCACGATCGTTCATTTGTGCACGCATGCAGGGTCGCTTTTTCCAAGATTACAGCGCCGACTCTCCGCTCGTGGTCATTGTCGGTGAAGCCCTCAAATTCAAAGCAGACAACAACATGTGCGTACAGCACCCGTGTCCCGCTTTCGTGCCTGTGTTGGGACATGTCGTGCATCGCGAGATCTCATGGCGTTTTACCTTCCTGGCAGTCGAAACATTGAATGGAATCACCAGCGCGTCAACTCAAACATGGACATGATGCTTGCCATCAGCAACAAGCTTCGCGAGGTTTGTGCTTCGTGTCTGTTTTCGCTGATTGCGCCGTCTTTTTCGGATCGAATGCGGCTTTGCCAAGCCTCAAAGAGTTTTATTCTGGACGACTCGCACTGCTGGTGGAACTTGTGTGCAGGAGGGATTATGGCCGCGGCCAAGGATCTTCCTTGACAGCAGCATCAGTGCTCCCAAGCAGGCACACCTCGCCGAGCTTGCCGAGGTCAGTCCACGTTTCGTGCCTGCCTGTTTTTGCTCCTGTGGTTTTTATCTTCAGGCTCGCGTGCATGAATCCAACTTACATTTGTTTTTGGCATGGTCCTGCACGCACTCGACCTGCCAGAAATTTCAATGCACTGTTACCCTCAACCACAAAGATGCCACGCACATCATCTCCCAATACCCAGACAAGGATCCAACGGAAGACGACGGTATGTGCCCATGCTTCCCAGCCCATGCGCCTTGCTCTGTGGCGAAACGACGTCTGATATTCATCTTGTGTCGCCCCGCAGATGAAGAGTACTTGCGCCCCGTGCAAGAGCGCAATGGGCAAATGCTGGCCCACTGGTGGTATTTTCCCGATAGGTGAGTCGCTCTTGTCCTGGCCCCCAGTGGCTCAGGCACTAAACGACGAAAATGGTCCAGGCCAAAGCCGATCCTCATTCGGTGCGCCATTTGGAGCTCACTGCCCGTTCCACAATCTTCCGCGCGTGTCGTGTTTGGCACATCTTCTTGCTAGCTATGATACTTGGGTGCCCAAATCTGCCGTCACTGGCTCGGTGGAACCTTTTCAACCCCGCGGTACGCACCCCTATCCCATCCACCTATTTCTCCCATATACCCTACAGCCGCGGCGCAGGTACCCTTATAATGTGCCTCTGGGTGCCAACCGTCATAGACACGTGGGTGGTGACTGCTTGGTGGTTGTTGCACACCGAAGTGTACAACGAGTTTATGAACGAGGAAGACTACGAGGACACAGACTACAAAATGAGCACGGTGCGCGCCTGTCCATCTCGCAAGCCGCATCAGGCTGCAACGCCAGTGGATTTCTTATTGATGGCATGGCTGCTTGGTGCTGCTTAGTCAAAGAAACGTGCCTCTCAAGGCAACTCGCGGGCCCGCCAACGCTCTGGTAAAGGGTAAGCAAACTTTCGTCAAACCTGTCGATGCGGTCGTTCCGGTAGCTTGGCTTACTCTGATTCTTGATTGATCATGCGCCTCAGTACCGAGAAGAAAAAGAAACGCGCTGCGTCTCCCGTGGAAGATACACCCGCTCGCAAATCTAAGCGGTATGTTTTTTGGCTGTTGTGATGGCCTTCTTTTCGAGGTGGCTTTCCATGGCACCCTCATCACGATGACCCCGAGCTACTCCCGCGCGAGGCGCTGAAGGGCGGGATGTCAACGAACAGCCAGGCTACATCAATAACACCAATGTCATTCTCATGTCATCGGTGCATCGCATGTGCAGAGACAAGCGTGCGTCCACGGCTACAGCCACCCCAGAGCCTGCCCCAGAGCCCGTTGCAGAGCAGCCACCGCCCATGCTCAATGCTCAACCCACCGGGGAGAAGGTGATGGATGTCACACAGGCCTTGGGCGAACGCGAGCGCACCACGCGTGTACGTGCTCCCAGCTCCTTGCCCCTTTGCAGCATTGACCGGATGCGCCGCTATGCAGCCCATTAATGTGCTTTGCCTATGTCTTAGGGTGGTCCAATTGTGGAGGTGCCTGATGAACCTCCCCGTGTGGTGGCACGGCGGCGTCGGTCGCGCGCTGCTGCTGCGGCCGAGGCCGAAGAGCAGGAGCACGAGGAAGAGGCTCGCAAGGCGGCTCAACAAGCCGGTGACAAGAAGGGGCTTGTGGAAACGGCCGTGGTACGAACCTCTTGCAATTTGAGCATGTTGGAGCTCCGAAGGCATGGCACCCTCGAATTCCGCATTGTGTACCGCAGGTTTGGAGCACTCACCTCGTCTCGCATTCATGTTTTGCGTGTCTTTGTAGTCGACGGATGATGTGGTCGTCCAGACACGCGAGGAAGCGGAGGATGCTGCCAATGCGCTTGCTCAAGCCCAAGAAGAGGCCATCCATGCTAAGAAGCAAGCTCGCGAGCTGGAGGAACAGATGCAAACCGAGGATGAGGAAGAGCAAGAGCATGATGCCACAGTATGTCTTGTCTTCTTGTGCAGGTGGTAGGTGAATTGCGTTTGATTTGATTCCAGCCGTCTGATTGAGCTCCTCGGATTGATGTCGGGATGCGCAGCGTCTTGTGGAGGAGCAACAGCACCACATTGTGATCCCCGCACCGGCAGCTTGGTTCGATTACCATACCATTCACGAGATTGAAGTGCGCGCGTTGCCGGAGTTTTTCAACGATAAGAATCCTACAAAGCAGCCTGAAGTGTATGTCGCTTGCCGTGACGTGAGAAGACCAGGCCCGCGATTGGGACGTTTCCCTCTCAACAAAAACTGAATCACCCTGTTGCGCTCTCCTCGTCGGCGATTTAGATACATGTCGTATCGCAACTTCATGATTGACACGTATCGCTTGAACCCGACACAATACCTTACGGTCACGGCCTGCCGTCGGCATCTGGGTGCGTGGCATGCTCTTTCACTGTCATGTCTCACTTCGGATCCCACAGGACAAACTGATCTTTTTTTCGATACATATTTGTGCGTGTCTATAGCGGGCGACGTCTGCGCCATCTTGCGAGTGCACGCGTTCCTTGAGCAATGGGGCCTCATCAACTACCAGGTGCGTTCTCGATCCCCGCATCCCACGGACTTCTTCTGCTCTGCTCAAGAACACAGCTGACCTACTTGCGTGCGGCTGAACCAGGTTGACATTGAAAGTCGGCCTACAGCCATGGGCCCACCCTCGACCGCCCACTTTCACGTGCTGGCAGAGACGCCTTCTGGACTGCGGCCAATTCACGCGTCTTTGCTATCGGCCAAGGTCCGTCACCCTCTTCCCGCCCATGGGTCTTGTATAGCTAGTCTCGTACTCGTGCCAGGCTCATACCGACCATTTTGAATACAACTGACACCTACCCATGCGTGAAACAGGAGCGCGCGCAAAAATCCGAGGCTTTGTTGGTCACACGGGCGTTGGGCGTACAGAGCAAGCCAGTGGCAAGCTCACCCAAGTCGGCTACCGATTCAGCCAGTCAGCCTGCGACTTCCGCAGTGTCGGAGATGGATGTCGACAAGACTGAAGCACCCTCGAGCACGGGTGGCTCAGCCTTGGCGGCGTCTGAAAAGACCGGCGATGACAAGGCCGGCGCTTCTACAGACGCCCGCGGCAGCACCGCAACTGGTGATATCAGTGCCATGGACACAGATGCAGATGGCGAAACCCCCGGGGAATCGCAAACCAAAGCACAGGAGGGTACTTCGGCGACGATCATCAAGAGCGAGCCCCAGAGCAAGGACGATGAAGCAAGTCCCTCGCGAACCGAATTCCTGTTGCAGCGCGACATCTTCCCCACCGTGCCCGAGGAGGGCTTGCCTTGGACAGACGAAGAACTTTTGGCTCTGCTTGAGGCCATTGATATTTACCGCGAGGATTGGCTGGCCGTGCGCGACCATGTTAACAACGTCTGCCACGCGGGGCAGCCCAAGCGCACGCATGACGAGTGCCTCACGGCCTTTGTCCGGTAAGCAAGAGCCACATTGGTGACTTCTTTCTTCGGGTCATCTTTTCTCTGTATTGTTCCATGTCCCATGTTTGTGAAAGAGTTTATTCTCCTCGACCAAATGCTCGCCGCTTTGTGTTTTTTTTTCTTTCCATGCTCGATGCAATCTCGACATGTATCATTCACCTCGTTGCATGCCGGCATGCAATGCAGCTTGCCCATTGAGGATCCTTTTTTGAAGGCGCAGACGAGTGCAGCGCCCGAAGCTGTGCCGTTCTCCTCCACTGCCAACCCGCTCATGATGACGCTTTCGTTTTTGGCAACGCAAATCGAGGTACGTCACAGGAACCAACGCATTTATAGGCCGTCGTGTGTGTCAATGCTGCGTGAGAGGCTGTCTGTTGCCCGACTGAGTTGCACAATATGCTTTTGCTGTTGCTTTTGCTGTTGCTTTTGCTGTTGCTTTTGCTGTTGCTTTTGCTGTTGCTTTTGCTGTTGCTTTTGCTGTTGCTTTTGCTGTTGCTTTTGCTGTTGCTTTTGCTGTTGCTTTTGCTGTTGCTTTTGCTGTTGCTTTTGCTTATTTCTCTTTGCTTCTTTTGCAGCCCGCGGTGGCCGCCGAGGCAGCCAAGACGGCACTGCGGACGCTGGGCGATCGCAAACTTGCCGAGACGCAAGCGCGGGGAGCTGGTCGGACCGAGGCCGATGAGGCTACCGCCAGTGCCCCAGCCACATCCACAAGCGCGGCCAGTGTAGCCAGCGACGCTACGGCGTCAGAGGCGCCAGCCGCAGAGGCCAAGGCGCGTACGGCCTCCACATCAACCGGGGCTGGCGAGAATGAAACGGGCGGGACTGAGGAGGAAGGTCTTGGCGTCAACGGCGTGCAAGATGTCCTCAAAGACGCTGTTCCCCAGGCCGATGTTGAGGCTGCAACCCGTGCAGCTCTGCAAGCTGCAGGCGGCAAGGCCCTGGTGTGTTATCGATGCCCCTCCCAGCTGTGCTGGGCGCTTGTCTCTGGCTCTTGCTGTGGAGCGCTGTTTTGGTTGGTTCATGGTTGCTGTTTGATGTTTGATTAGAAATTGGCCAAGGCGACGGAACGCCGCATGAGGTTTCTGGCAGCGTGCCTGGTAGAGACGCAACTGGCCAAGATGGAGATTAAGCTCCGTCACTTTGAGGAACTCGAGTCGCAGATTGAGCTGAAGCAAGCTGCGGTACGTTCCTGGCACGCCGATGTCTTGGGCTACCCAAAGGCCTGTGCAAGTGCAAGCATGGCTCATTGTTTCGTGTCGGTCTTTGCGGCCTTACAATGCCCACCGAATGACAGGTCCAACAGGAGCGCCAAGCCCTGTTGCAACAGCGTATCAAGTTTGAGGCTGAGAAGCGTCGCCAGATTGAGCAGCTGGAGCGAGGCGAGCTCTCATCCAATGCCGACCTGCCGTAGGTGGTAGTAGATGGCAATTCAGACAAATCCATCGTGGCAAAGCCGGCCGAAGGCCGGTGTCATGGACCTTGCGCCTTCCATCTTCCCGTCTCGCCGGTTTTTGCTTGTCGTTGGATTGAAAGAAAACCACAAAAATTCAAAACGTGAAATGTCATCGTTAAGAAACGAAGGGTCCAAAAGTGCTGACATTCAACAAGCCAGTGGATCGATACACCGTGTGTTCTTCTGTCTCTCATTTACTGCCCGGGTCTGTTTCTGTCTCTATGTTTCTCACGTTCCCTCTCTCTATCTCTCGATCCTTGTGTTATTCCCCTTTCAATCTAGTTCGACGCATAAAGGCTCTCTTCCACCAACTCACGCTCACGCACACTCTCTGAAATTGTAACAGAGACTGCCACCATCTCTGGCGATGACGCCGAGTGCCGAAGCGATTTTTCTTTGTGCTTTTGTGAGGTACGTGAGGGCCGATGGCGAATGGCAGCCCCGAGGAGGTGGAGGGCGCGGTCGTCGTGAAGGCGGGACTGCTGACCAGTGGTGACGCGAGACCTGTTGGTCATCTTACACAGGGAGGGGTCGTGTGTAGGCGTCGTTGGGGAAACATTGGAGGGGAATAGATGTTGGGCAGTGTAGGTGGCGAGTGGCGTGGTGCATGACGGGTTGCGGCAGGGTTCATTCAGCGTCTGATCACAAGGGCTGCGTTGCCGTGCGGGCTGGTCGGCCCTGCGCCTCACCAGTTGCTTGTCTTTGACTGATGTCTGACCCAGCTGTCTTCTTGTGAATGCAGGTGCTGTAGCTGCATGCACCATACAAGGCATTGCATGGGGCTTGGCCTTACTGTGCCGATTAGCTTCGCTACCAAGCTCTTCACTGTCGTTGTCAGCCGTGTTGCGCAGTAGTGGCCTGCCCGTCCCGGCACACGTATTCGCCACTTCTGGGGTCGACTGGTTCGTCTACCTATCAAAACGTGCTCTCTAGCTGCACGGCCTCGCTCCCTCTGGTGTGGTGTTGACCTCACTTTGGTTTCGCTTCGTCATCGTCAGTTGTCAGGCAGTTTTCTGGCTCCGAGGGACTTTTGGGTCCCGGCTCGCGCAACGGGCCAGAAGCGCGTCGCCTGCTACCGCCTCGCGACCAAGTCTCAAGCTTGCTCCCCCTGGTCCTGACTTTCTTTGCACCGCCGAAACCGCATTTCCGACTGTGGTCACCCACTTTCCCTTGGGCTGGCCCCGTGACGGCGCGAGGTGGCCCAGGATGGCGGTTCCGGCCTCCAAGCGCGCCAAAGTTCATTTAACCTCGGCGCACAAAAGTCAAAAGGATTCTGCAGCTGTCATGGAGTCGGAGGACGATTTTGTAAACAGCGACTTTGATGAGGAGGAAGAGGAGGACTTCTCTGCCGATGACCACTCCGATGACCACTCCGATGACCACTCTGATGACGAGGTGGGTCGCTTCAACCCTGCTTTGTGTTGAAACACTCGTAGCTTGATCTTTCTCATTACCAGGGTGTCTCTTTTTTAACCGGCCATGGCCTTGCCCTCGCTTCATGCGCCGAAACAGGACGTAGCGGATGTGCATCTTCTGCCCAACCCAAGCAAGCAACCGTGCTCGCGAACCCCAGAGGAGATCTTGCAGAACATATATGCCTTTCGTGATCGCATTGTCGAGGTTGGCGGTGTCACGCCCGATCAAGCCATGGCGCTGCTTCAAGCACATGGTTGGAGCACCGAGCGGTCGCTGACCGCGCTCTTTAGTGCGACAGACGCTGCCTTTCGCGCTGTAAGTAGTGCTGCCCAGTGCTGCGGCGCATATGCAGACCATGCCCATGTCCCCGACTTTTTGGTTCGCATACATGCAATGCAGCCACACCTTGTTTCTCACCTCTTCGCTGCATGCCCTATACCTTTATAGGCATGTTTACCGGCACCATCGGCAGCCGATTCGGGCACTGGGTCACAGACGGCGGCGGAAGAGTGTTGCGTCTGTTCCGATGAAGATTGCGAGCTTCATGCTCTCTGCGGCTGCAGCCATAAAGCGTGCATGTCCTGCTGGGAGACGTACTGTCAGGTCAGAGCTCTCCTCAAACTTTTCTCTGCTCGATGAGCGACCCGATGCACGTTTGAGTGACGAAGAAGTTTGCCACCCACTGTAGGATCAGCTGCGCACGCACCGGCCCGGCCAAATTTCCTGCGTCGGCTACTCTTGCCCAGTGGTGGTTCCATTCTCAATCCTGCACAACATGAATAAGGTGGACTTTGATAGCATGCAACAAGCTCCCCCTTCCCATTGCACAACCTGTTTTGAATCAGACTCAGGCTTCAAGTCACTCACGCGCGCGCGCGCGCGCGCGTGTGTGTGTGTGTGTGTGGGCCTCGAGTAGGAGGCGGCCATCAAAGGACTCATCGAGAGCTACGTTCAGCAACAGCCCAGTCTCAAGTGGTGCCCCACGCCCAATTGCAATACAGTGGTGGAGCGGCGATTTGGTTTGTATCTGCATTGGCCGTTTGTTGTCCGAAGATATGGCCATCTCAATCTGAGGTCGTTTGGAAGAGGCGGCGTGCAGCGGGGCATACATCCATTGAACTGCCGTCTACATCTCTCATCCATGTTGACCCTATCTGTTGTTGCCTGAAAAAAAAAAATGCGTCCACACATTACAGCGGAGAGCGACGCAGAAGCGCAAGACCAGAGCGTGACATGTGGCGTCTGCAATGAAGTCTTTTGCTTTGCATGTGGCGTCTTTCACGTCCCTGCTACCTGCGAGGTACTCTATTGGCCATAAACGCCGATCCAGTCGATACCTGGCACCGGGCTCAAACCCCAACCCCCATCTCCACGGTAGATGATGCGCGAGTTCCAGACTGCAAGCAAGGTGGATGGCAGCGCCGTTGATTGGCTCAGCTCCATTCAAGCCAAGGTACGCAACCACGAGCCAACACTCCATCAAAAGCCCAAAGTAGCAAGCCGGACTCTCGTTGGAGTCAGTCGCTCCACGCACATCCTCATCACAATCCAACCTCGCCTTTCACGTAGCCGTGTCCAAAGTGTGACACCTTCATCGAGAAGGCAGGCGGTTGCAACTGGCTTATGTGTCGCCAGGTATGCCAGTCTCGACAGCGGCAAGCACCACAAGCCCGCGCCTTACGCTGATGCATACTCACCAGCTCTATTTTTGCTGCATGTTGCTTTGTGTTTGGTCACGGGTTCGCTAGTGCGGCCACGGCTTTTGTTGGCTCTGTGGCGAGACCATTCAGCATCGCGAGATAGATGCGGCGGGCGGTACACATCGTTGCAATATCTTCAAAGAAACGGGCAAACTTCCCCCGGGCTGGTAAGCTTGGCCACTGTTTCCTGGGGACTGACCTCTTCGTGGAGCCTTCGAGGTGAAGCCCTTTCTGACCTTGGCTTGCTTTCGCTGCGCACCTTGGCGTGTAGGATTCTTCAAAATAAAGCTGCGGTCCCGGAAAAGCCAAATCGCGACTCGCTTCGTTTCATCCATTACTACTCGCGCGCTCGGGTTGGTATCGTTTCAAGCAATTTTCGAGTCGTTCGGGTCTGGGCCTTTGTGCACCTGCGCACTTGCACTTTTGTCCCGCGGCGGGGCCTCGCAGAAACCACTCACGCCAAGCAACTGCTGCTGCGTAGTCCCATGAGGAGAGCTTGATTCGTGAACAGGCGCGCGGAGAACTGTTGAAGCAAAATACCGTCGAGTGGCAGCTTCGGGAGCTTCAAGAGACAGCGCTGCGGGAGCTTCGGCGCGCCCGCTTGGCTTTGCAAGCCTCGTATGTTTTTGCTCTCTACAAGGTCTGGGCGGCCGACGACCTGCAGCAACACATCTTTGAGGACCTCCAGCACATGCTGGAGAGCCGAACCGAGAATCTGAGTATTGTACGTCTACTACAATCATCGCCTTTGCGCGTGTGTGCGGCTTTGAAAACGCGCAGGGCTCGGGTTCACCATACCATTTGTCTGGCTGGGATTGCAGATCCTTGAAGATTCTTTAAAGGGGGATATCAAGGTGGAAAATCTCCGTGAGCAGATGCTCGGTGGCATTGATGCTGTCAAGTCAGTAGCCTTGTGGCTCTTAGCCATCTCGGATATTTGGTTCAAAGGGCTCAAAGAGTGACCAGACTGACGTTGCTTTGTGTATGGTGTTTGCAGGATCAATCTAAAGAACCTGGTCAATTCGGGGCATGTACCCAACTCGAGTACAGCCGCGCATGGAGCCAGTGCCTCAGCAGCGACAGGAGGGATGCCGACATTTGCTGCCAGCCATAATGTTCATGCTCGCGGAGGTGATGCATAGTGGGGGCCGAGGCTTTGACAAAACCTCATTTTAATGAAACGTGTGCATAGTCGGAGTCTTGTGGACTCGGGCGCTTCCTTTGCTTTCTTAATGCATCTAGCTTCGAAGTATTTTCATGACAGTATGCTGTCACTTGCAAAATCGAGATGAGTGATAGCTCAAAATGCGAGCGGGTTTCTTCACATGGCATCGTGTGCGTTTTCTGCGGGCAAATGAATTTTGTTCTTGGGTTTGTTTGATGGCACTCAAGGCGTCTCGGTCGCGTGGGTCAATTGGAAAAAAAAACGAAAGGAAACAAAAGAAAAAAGAAAACGAAAACACAAACCAAAACAAGAAAAGAAAGTTTTGATTGGACGATCAAAAAGGAAAGGGGGTCAAGCGGAAAGCGAGGCACTTGACCCTTGTTTCATCTAGAGTAGTGGTTGAGGCGTGTGTTTATTATCCCAGTGTCAAAGGACATCGCGCATTCTATCTAATGCAGGGTGCTTAAAACTCAAGGATCACCTTGCCCGATTGGCCACTTCGCATAATCTCAAAGCCCTCCTGCGCCACCAAGAAGGCATAGTGAGGTATAGCCAAATCGCAAGAGACCCGCAGCCTAGTCTTACCTTGTACTGCTCGAGCTTGAGGTTATGAGTGATGATGGGGGCCAAGCGCTTGCTCAGGCCGCCAATCAGCATGTTGCGCATCTTGTACCAGGTCTCATACATCTCACGACCGTAAATGCCCTTGACAGTCAAACCTGGTGGGTAGAGTGGGAGAGAGGTAAACCAGAGAATGAGAAACCAGGTTAGCCGGGGCTTGGCATGACGACAAGAGGATTGTACTGACCCTTGAATACGAGCTTATCCATGTCAATCGGGAAAGGCTCGGCAGGAATGCCCAAGATGGCGAGCTGAACAATGTGCGACGGGCAACAGCCGATTAGAGCGCGACACAAGGTATCCAATAGCCAAAGCGAGAGGTCAACGTAGACAGGGCGCGCAGGCGCAACAGGGGACGCACCTTGCCACCGTGGGCCATGTTGTTCAACATGTTGCGAAGCGCAGAGCCATGGCCAGACATTTCAAGTCCAACATCAAAGCCCTCGAGCATGCCTACACAATGTACGAGGTTTGCAGGAGAAGATAAGACGCGATGGCCCCCAGCCAGGACATGCACCGATGGTTCTCTCATTGAGAGGAAAGAGGCGAGGGGAGGGGGCTGCAAGTGCGCACCAAGGTCGGTCATGGCCGATTTGAGAAGGTCATCGGCGTTGGCACCACCAACGTTGATGGCCAGATCAGCACCGCAGGCGCGCGCAAGGCCCAGGCGGTATTCGTTCACATCGGTGATAACAACAAAGCGAGCGCCAAGATGACGGCAAATGGCAGCGGCCATGATGCCAATGGGACCAGCACCCGTGATCAGAACGTCCTCGCCGACAAGATCGAAGGACAAGCAGCAGTGCACGGCATTGCCAAGGGGGTCCATGATGGAGGCCATCTGCAAAAAACGAGACAGTGGGGAAAATGCCAACAAGTCGGAGTGAGACGAGTGCCCGACCCCCGGGTGCCACGATTGGCTATCCAAGCATGCGGGAAACGCACGTCGTCGGAAATTTCTTCGGGCAGCTTAAAGGCATTGGTGGCGGGGAGAGTGAAAAGTTCGGCAAAGGCACCGGGACGGTTGACTCCAACGCCAACCGTGTTGTGGCACAAGTGCTGGCGACCGCCGCGGCAGTTGCTGTCGGGGCAGAGCAGGGCAGGGCAGGGCAGGGCAGGACAGGACAGGACAGGACAGGACAGGACAGGACAGGACAGGGCGAAGCAAAGTCAAGTCAAAGGCATGAACAAAGGCATGAACAATTCATTCCACAGCAGGTGCGGATACATTCACAGGCGGGCGTCAAGGGGGGGATAGCGAGCTCATGCCAAAAGAATGACAACACTTGACAGCTTACCGGCAGTGACCGCAAACAATGTGGCCTTCGCCGGTCACGCGATCGCCAACCTACAAATGAAGGGGGGGGGGGTATGAGATGTTTGTATGTTCGGGCGGTGCACAGCACGCTGGGCTTTTGACACCGCCAGGCAGGTACGGCCAGTACAAACCTGAAAGCCCTTGACACCGTCACCAACAGCTTCGACGACGCCAGAGTATTCATGGCCAGTGACCATGGGGGTGGGGACGGTGCGCTGGCTCCACTCATCCCAATTGTAAATATGGACGTCGGTACCGCAGATAGCTGCGCGCTTGACGCGGATCAGGAGCTCGCCGGCCTGCAGCTCGGGGATCTCCGTGGTGCTCAGCGAGATGCCTGGAGCAGGAGTCTCCTTCTTCAAGCAGCTAAAGGCATTATACAAAAAGCGATTATTGGATGTGTCGATCATGGTAAGTGATCGCATCGGGAAGGGCAAACCACACTGTAAAAAAGCCTGGAGGTGCTTCGGACATCAGAGAAGGCGCTCAACGGCAGGACATACCGAATTGAGGTGCCCGGAATGGTGGGATAATCGGCAGCATTGTAAGTGGGCCGCTGAATGACATTCTCGAGGCAGCCTGAACGAACCAAGCATCAAGGCAGACGGAGCGGCAGCAGAAGAAAAACAAATGACAAGCCTGCCGTGAGCTTTGGGGGCTGCAGGTCATGACAGCACAGAACAGATTGAAGGTACGCGGGGGACAGTTGTGGAGGGTGGCGAATCATACCAGCATGAACTTCATCCTCGCGAACTTGTGGGATCAGCTGCAGGGGTGAAATGAAATAGCAGTGAGGCGGTGGGTCGTCTGCTGGTTTGCTGTTTTTCGTTTGTTGACATGAAGCGGCGTCGTCGAGAGGCGGCGGCGGGACGATAGCAGCACAAGCATCAACCCGGCCTTGAGCTGATCACGTACATCCGAGGTAGAGAGGCGGCGGTAAGCGGCAGCCACCGAGCAGACGGGGGCTTGCAGCGCCACGGCGGCCTGACGACCAGCGCGCAGCGCTGAGACAGCTGTCATCAACATGCTGCAACCATAAAAAAGACGGCGTGAGATGCCTTTCGCCCTCTATCAACCCAAAGCAGCCCATGGCACAGGCAAAGGAAGCCGACACCTGCATACCTTGAAGTTACGTCGAGCGTCGAATGAGCAACGGGAAAGGAAAACGCGGGGGCGGCAAGAGGAAGCAAGGCGCGCTCTGCGATTCCGAGCAGCAGCAGCAGCAGAAGAAAAATGAAAAAAAAAAAAAGAGAGAGGAGAGAGAGAGAGAGGGAAGTACGAGAGAGAAGGAGATTCAAAGGAAATTTTGAAGAGAATAGGAATATACTGATGTTGTATTGTGGCTTAACACCTTTAGTTTCCCATAAATTTCAGAGAGTCTTGAAACTCTATCATCTAAATGAGAGAGAGCTCAAGAACAGCGCTTCAACTGAAGAGAAGGCGTGTAAGAGGAGTGCGTACCACGGTCGTCATGATGGTGTGCTCCCACATGTGACCGACACAGTGCGTCACAAAGAGACAACAACCAACTTGTTGCAATGGCATGTTCCCAGAGCTGGACCACACACCGCCTGTCCCCAGGCCCGAGCATCTCGACGACGGCGGCGATCAACCTGCCCCAGGACCCGGCCAATCGGGCGTCGGGTCATGGGGAGGGCGCTGCCGTTTGAGCACATGCAGATTTCACAATTCACCCTGACCCCATGAGCGGTATTGCAACATCCAACCAAACTGACCAACAGTATCTTTATTTCTACTTTAACAACAAAATATGCTTCATAAACTAACGTTGTGATCCTTATGATTGATGCATTAACTCTTATATATAGTGCATTATATCGTGTTACGCAGCTCGATTGCCGTAAGAAGCTGCAAAGTGTGCCAATGTCGCTCAGATTGTTATGGCAGTCGCTTCAGGGCTTGTTATGGCAATCAACGCAGGGTGGCTCTCTGTCTGAAAGACTCCAACCAAACAACCATGGACAAGTCCATCATCTCAGGAACCGCCCAAGCAGGCGAGACAGAGACGGAGACAGAGACAAAGACAAAGACAGAGACAGAGACAGAGACGGAGGCAGAAATGAATTGGTTTGGTCGGTTTGAGAAAGAGAGAAAGGGAAAAGCACAACTACCACACGGAGGCAGAGACAGAGACAGAGATGGAGACGGAGGCAGAGACAGAGACAGAGATGGAGACAGAGACAGAGACAGAGACAGAGCGGCCAGAGACAGAGACAGAGACGGAGACAGAGACGGAGACAGAGACGGAGGCAGACGAAGGCAGAGATAGAGACAGAGACGGAGGCAGACAAAGACAGAGGCAGGGAGGGAACGAGGAGGGGTCAATTTAGCGAACTCAGTGATGATAATCGAATTTTGGGCTGGTCTTGTGTTTTATTTTTATTTTTTGGTTTTCAAGGTAAAAGAACAAAAAAAAAAAAAAAAAAAAAAAAAAAAGGGCAGCGGCCCCGTGCGCTGCAGGTCATGGACGAATGGCGAGCGGGGTAAAGGGAGTCTTTGAATGCACATTGAGGTGTCCTCGCTATGGCTTGATTTGCATGTTGGTGGCAAGTCTTGACCTCACTGTTGCTGGCGGACCAACGGCTGAGGTAGAAGTGATTGAAGTTTCCGCAACTGCGACATGGCTGTCGGCACGTTTGTGGCGACCCTGCTGTATTGGCTGGGTGGGGCCCTGCTCTTGGTGGCCGCCTACTTTTGCGCCTGGCTCCAATATCATCATGATGTCTTTGTCTACAAGACCAAGTACGCTCGGCAATTCAGTCAGCTTCCCCTGTTTCTGAAGGATTTGCAGTCGAAGAGCTGTCATGGCAGCTCACGGTGGATTTGTGCTGATGTTGTGCGGTGGCAACCACGCTCACTGGTAGATGTAAGGACAAGAAATGGGCCAAGCCCGATGACTACTCCACCATCATTGCCAACCTGCAGCCCATCGCCACCAAAAAGGTTGGGATGCCTACGTTGGTTTTGCCCCTAATTTCCTAAGCACTACAGCCTGGCATTATTTTAGCCACCGCCCTGTGCCCTCATCTACTCATTTTTTTAATGTGCTGTGCTTGGCAGCTCTACTTTATCCGCCACGGCGAGTCGACCTGGAACGTCACCTTCAACCGCGACAAAGTTACCTTCATCTTCCGCCTCATCTACTCTTGCGTCTACGATGCCTACCTGACCCTAACCCAGAGCGACTCGTGGTTCATTGACTCCCCCCTCTGGTACTACTGCGAATCGGCCGCTGCAAGCCCTGCATCACGCCCCTCCCCCTCCCCCTTTTTTAGATTGATGGTCCACAAGCCATATGTATTCATACTCATACTCTGATCTTGCGCTATGCTGCGTGTCCCGTGCGGGTGCTGTCATCCATTCATCGCAGTGCCACTGGTGTGGAGCAAGCCGACTCGGCTCGCCAGTACATCAAGGCTAAACACACAACCAGCGACCACGTACGATGCGCATCCTGTCGCCAGAACTTGTGCTTGAGCATGCGTCCTCATTGCTTGCTCGTTACAAATGGCCTTGCGATGTGAAGGCCAAGTTTTTGCACGATGGCCGCGCCATCCTGGTCTGCTCCAACCTCCGTCGCTGTCTGAGCACCGCCATCGTTGGTCGGTTCAATTGCCCGCTCTTCCCGCTCTGCCACGCCCGCATCGACATAGTGCAGATCCTTCTGCAACCGCCTCACGCATGCACCATATGCACCCTGCCTTGACACGCTGCTGGGCATTTTATAATCACCACAGCCCTGTATGATCGGTTGAAGCGCTCTGAGGAGAAGCTCGTCATCTTGCCTTGGCTCCAAGAAATTACCAACAATCCCGACTCAGTCAGCATCACCCCGGCCTTTACCTTACCTCGCCCATCGTGGTTTGACCGCAACGCACCCATCATGAAGCCCTTCGACATGAACAAGTCATATGCCACCATGCTGGACCCCACCGAGAACTTTGGAAATAAGCCGGTCAAGGGCAATGGCAAGCAGCGGATCGATGCATTCAATGAGGTACCAGCGCTCTACTGCATTCGTCTTATACTGGTGCGCCTCTTCTCGATCATTCTGCTCGATATTCTCACCCTTTGTCCTGGCTCTTCTTTGTGGTAGTGGCTGTTCTCCGATGCTGTGGACACCGACACGGTGGTCCTGTGCGGACACTCTCTGTGGTTTATGTCCTATTTCAAGGAGTTTTTGCCCCTCGACTCAAATGTACGTGTCGAAAAAGATGCACCTCACTAACATGTACAGCGCCCTTTTTGCAACACCCTCATACTGCCATCCCCACTCCAACTCATGCTCACCATAGCACCCTAGCAAGAAAAAGAAAATGAAGAATGGTGCCATTGTGTACTTGCAAGTCAGCCTTTACGAAACTCAGCAGGGCAAGGTGAGATTGGATTTGAGTGGCCTTTTTCCGCAAACCATTCACATCATAGCCACCCAATGACGAAACAGTTGCCACCCCTGGCTTCTCCTTGTCTGTGCTCACAACATAGCGTACCTTGCTTGCTTTTGTTTGTAGCGCTTCTATCGTGTCATGCCGGACACGATTGAAGAAGTCCATCTGGGCTTTAAAAAGTAGAGTTGGGTCATGAATCAAATGTTGCGCGTGCGTGTCACTGTGGACGTTCCCCATCTGCTACTAGTTTACCCTTGGCGCACGCAGCATCCGTCAGAACCCACTGTCTCCCGTCGTACGTCGTCTTTTGACGCAGCGAACCATCCAGCAATAATGGTTGATGGGAGCCGCATATGTTCTTCACGTCAATTAAAAACAAGGCTTTGTGAACAGAGCGTAGTCAACAACTAGCATCATTTCAGGCTGGCATATGCATCTAAGCGCGACTTTGTTGGTTTCGAGCGGGTGGCAACCGATCGTAGTCGTCTATCACCCCGAAGCCCTCGAATTCGTCTGCTTCATCCAAGCTAGCGAGCACCAGACTGGCATTGCCCGGCTCCAAGCTCAGGCGTCGGGGGCTGAAAGACATTGATGGCGTGGGCGTGTTTGGATCCGATGCCGTGGAACCTGGCTCAGAAGAGTTGGCACTCGGCTCGGGTAAGTCAGGCAATGGCATATCATCTAGCAGGCGCACGGAGTCACCGCGATATGTAAAGTCTGCCTCCACCATGGAGACGATGCGTTTGCGCATGGAAGCTCGCGACCGGGAGTTTGTTCGCAGCGGTGCGAGTGACTGTACTCGACCATATGCCCCATCTTCCAAGCTGAGATCATTCACAGCTTCGGCCAAAGGCGCAGCCTGTGATGTCATGTCCTGCAGTGGATCGTCATCGTACAGGAGCTCCTGCACCAGAGGGCGATGCGCCTGATGATCGCCGCGTGTTGCGACGCGTTCGAGGGGGGCCTCGTACATGTGGTCACCGGGATCTGACACAGGGGTTTGGGTTGTTGACGTGGGTCTGGGTTCAACTGGCGGTGCAATGGTGGCTGCGGCAGGCATGCCGTTTGCCGTGGGCTCGTTCAGATCAACAACCACCGTGTTGAACAGCGAACCCACGTGTTTGATGAGATACTCTCCTAATGAATGCAGCATATGAAACATATGAGATGCGCCAACAGCAGGACAATGCAGCACACAAGGTTTTTCTCAATCGTTGTTTCACACGCACCGACAGCAGCAAACTTTTCGTGTTGCAAGGCAAGGAATGTCGGGTCATTTTCAGGCAGGAGGCTGGGTGCCAGTGAGATGGACAGTGCTGCCGCAGACATGCGGTTTTGGGCACTTCGTAAATGCACGCTGCGAGCAAGATCAGAAGAGGATTGGTGAGGTCAGCGGAGGACGGCGAAGTTCAACGGAGGACTCCTAGTTTCCCCATTCTGCTTCAATGTGAACAATCGCTCCAGTAACGAGGCACCTTACCGATGAAAATGGGTTAACAACACTTGTAAAACGGCACGGTTATCTGTTGGCAAGTGAGCCAAAATGGCCTTGGTTTCGGTCATTCGCGAAGGCTCGGGCGAATCTGCGAGCACCCAACGGACGATATCACCAAATTGTAGCAAAGAGGGCGCAGATGCAGTAGATGAATGAATGGGTCATCACTCAAATTCAAATCAAACGCCTGGCTGTTACTCCACAAGCGGGGGCCTCTGAGCCTCACCAATGGTGCGCAACAGCTTCTTGACAGTTGGGTTGTCAATGATGGGTGGTTGCATATCCTTGCAGATTTGCTTAATGGCTGAGCAAAGATCCTTGTGGTCGGCTTTTTCCAAAGCTGTTTTCTGTTTGGCAACATCCTTTTTCTTAATCATAGCCACCAAGGCGCGCACGACATTTGCATCGCCCGGCTCACTGCATGCAAAATTTACCCCCGCGCCAATACATTGAACGAGAAACAGCAATTTATGCGTGAGCAGGACATGCAAACAAACTGCAAGGCAGGTTTGTTTGCAGATGATCCCTGATTGCAGGCACAGCCTCACCGATACAGGCCTTCTTCAGCGAGACCTTTGATCTCTAGGACACGGATGGCTCGCTGCAAGAAGGCAACTGCTTCTGGGTCGAGCATGGACTTGTCCCTATGTAACGCGTCATTTGGGGGAGATTAGAGGAGGGACAGGCTTCAGCAGGGGCCAGATTGACACGTTAAAGATGCACATCCGAGGGGCGGGGTCAGCCCAACTTCTTGGCGCGGGTGCCTCGACGAATGCGAACAGTCTTGACGGGAGAAGCACCACCCAGTACAAGCGCCCATTTAGTTCGTGCTTGCGGTGTTGGCGTCTATGCAATCGCAGTCGAGTGAGCTGGCACGCAGAACCTTGCCGAGTCTCCGTGGCGGGGCGGACGGCGTACTTGAATGAGAATGTTGTCCTCCTCGCTAGCACAGACAATACGAAGACAGTTGTGACGCTTGATCTCGTCGCTGGCCTCTTGCACGCAAGTTCGGACGGCAACATGTTTCAACTGGAAAAACGGTGGTGAAAGCTCATCAGAGACATGTATGTCCATGTATGTCCATGTATCACCTGTATGCCTGTGAAGCGGTGCCCAACATTGGACCATGAAATGGACCCACCTCGTCGAGTGTGTTTGGGTCAAAAAGTGTGAGGCTGCGGGTGCTGGGCGAGAATTTTGCCCAGACGCGGATCCACTTGGAACTACTTTTGACACCGAGATCTTTGCCAAACACGAACAAATAGCCACCGTGAACACCACTGGTAACCTCATCTGCATTCTGAGGCCCGTAGATAGAGTTGTGAAGCTAGGCACGGCAAGGAAATGGTGTCGGGTGAGGCGACATGATTCACGGGCGTCAACATTCCATCAGTGACATGGGCAGAAAGTGTGGAGGGAACACCAACCTGCTTGGCAATGAGGGGCCGCAAGGCGTCCTTGGCTTTGACGCTTTCGTGCATGGAAGCAATGCCTTCGCTGAGCTGCTCCAATTGTGAGGCCACCGCGTCACGATGGTAATGACACTGCATAGACATGGTGTGTGGGTTGAATGCGGAGCGCCGGTAAACTCTGCAACAGGAATCCGGCCTATTGAAGCGCACCATGCACTCATACCTTGTCCCAATAGTCTTGGTACCCTTCCACAAGGCGATCTAACTAAGCGGCGCAGGGGTACATGTGTGTGTTGTGCGCTATCTAACAAAACATGGGTCTCAACAGAGCGGCCAAGCAAGGCAAGACTGGCTCTCATTGATCTACCTCATCGGCCAAAAAGATGCGACGCATTTGCACCAGGCTGTTGAGACCAGTGGCATGGGCCACGCTACTGGCTAGTGCAGCTTTACCAAGGTATGTCAGCTCATTCTCGCGCTGAGCACGCACCACAGCACAACGAGCAAGTGAAGCCGATGCCCATCCGTTGTCGGTTACAATCACATGTGACTCGTGCCAGCAGAGCTATCTGAGCGGTTCGACATCAGATGTACCTTCTCCATCTCCTCCTCGTCTTCCTTGGGCTTGTAAGTATTGGCATGCGTATCCTCCGCTGATTCGAGGCGTTGACGAGTTTCCTGCGTTTCCGTGCTCAAACGCTATGTGCCAAAAACAGGAGATTCCATCAGAGCAAGAGCATGGAATGAAGTTGCCCACGAGGCGAGGCTGAACAAACGGTGATGGCGTGCAAGCTCTTCACCTGGATCTGAGCCAGGCAGGAGGATCGGAAGCGACCAATATTGCGCTGCATGTCTCGCAATCCTGAGGCAGCCACATCCTGTACATTCAATCCCATTTTGAGAATGCTGGTGTAGGCTTCTGGGGCTTCATCCAGGAGCTGTTCGCGGGCCGTTATGGAGGCCGCCGGCTGTGGCATGTTGTTGATCAAATCACAAACAGCCTCCATGGATTGCTGGTAGGCTGCATGAGCTCAAGGACAGAGAAGAGAGGTTAGATGCGTAAAAGCCAGATTCACAGGCCGGGTAATCTGATGTCAGCCGGGCTCAGACGTACTCTTCCAGGCCGCATGAGCATCTGCACAGCTTGTCGCTAGCGAATCGAGCCAGGCGTCGTACGGCTGCACTTGGCTTTCATGTTGCGTCAGCGATCGCAAGAAGCGTGGATGATCCTTGATGTAGGCTTTGAGATCAATCTACAGGAGAGGCCCACGCGTATGGTCAAGGCAACAGTCTTCCCAGTAGGCCAGAGCTGGCGGCGCACAGCATGCCACATACCTCCTCCATCTCGGCGTTGCTGCGCCAACGGAGCGCGTTCCGGAGAAAGACTGCCCTGACCACCTCAACTCAACCCCGTACCCTATGGGCTCTAAGACCACCTCGAAAATATCACAAGAAAATGAAAAGTGCCTCACTTCCCCCTACTGACGCCGCCGCCGCCACGACCACAATGGCCACTGCCGCTGCCACTGCCGTTTGCCGTCGCGATCTGTCGACAAGGGAAATGACGCCGAAGATGAATGCAGTGACGATAACCGTTTCATTTTTTATCTGACATTTTGTCTTTTGTTGTTGCACACGTAACGTCAACCTTTTTTGGCCCTGTTCTCGTCTCTGAGTCAGAGCCATCTTCTGCGTTCATCTCTGACTTTGTTGATCATCTCGGCGTCTATCTCTATTCCGACTGACATTCTGCTGTGGCTTTGTCAAGGTCTTCAGACACCATCTCTCGGAATTTTCCACAATCAACCCCTGTCTCTGAACCGGACTGTCTCATCCCTCTCCGTCTCTCTCTCTCTCTTTTTTTTCTTCCTTTCTGCTCCGTCGGCTGATTTTTGATTTTTTTTTTTGAATCTGTCGCTGCGCGCGCGCTGTTGGAGCTGAACGGGTGGCGTACTCATGCCCAGAGTCTTGATGGCAAGAGGCAGCGGTTGCATTTCTTTTTTTGGTTACAGTGGTGCGTTGGCAGTCGTGGTCTCGATTGCTTTGGGAGGCAGTGATTTGCATGTGAATTGCCGCCATCACCCATCGTGAGCATGGACCCAAACGATGGGGTGGCAAATGCACCCGAGGACTCGCACAAGGCACGGCGGCAAAGCCGCCGTGAACGCCGAAGAAGCAAGCGGTCTGCCGCGAAGGGTTCCAATGGGAACTTGTCCAAGGAACCTGATGGGGATGCAGAGGAGTTCTTTTTTCTGTTGCCTAATGGCCAAGCCATTGCAGAGCCTGGCGCGGTCGCCCCGAGCATCACGAGTCATGAGAGCACACCCCAGGCCCACGCCGCAGATGGCAGGCCTTTCAGCGCAGATGAACTGGAGGACACGACGAGTGCCCTGCTAGCTGTGGCACACGACTATGAACCCGTGTCTCCACGCACCTCTGTTTCGGCCGCGGCTGCAGATCAGCCCCGGGCCCCAACACCGCCTCCGGCCGAAAGCGTCGCAGCCTTGACCGTAACGTTGGCCCTGCGCACCGGCGTGGCCGAGGCGCAGCGTATAATCCAATACCAGCATGAGAGCGACCACGCCCTCAACAAGCTGTTGCACCACGCCACTCAGCTGCAATCCAACCTTCAGAATGCCGCTGAGACCCTCGGCCGGCGTCTCAACTCACCCATCTCGCCTCAAGCGGCCAAGCGAGGAAGCATTGATAGCGAAAGCATCCAACAAAACCTCACCACGCTCTTCTTGGCCATTCAAAACATTCTTGGCAACCTCCACGTCCTCCTCCACGAGATGCCCATCGTCATCCAGGCCGCCATTGAAAACGACTACAGCTTGGCCTGCTGTGCCAACGGCTATCGTAGCCTGCTTCGTGTTTTGGAACGTGCTATCGACACCTTGCAAGCCTGGTTGCAAGACTATCTTGCCAGCTCCGAACGAGCCAGCGTCATCAGCCTTACCGCTGCTCGCTTTGACGAGTTTGGCGTCAAAATGTTCAAAACCCTGATGAGGGTCTACTCGTACGCTGCACGGCTGGCTGAAAAAACCAAAGGCTCTTTATTCCTGGACTTGACAGAGGTTTGACTCGCGTGGCCTACTTTGAGTCTGATTCGCCGAATATGCAACCTCACTCCAGCACAATCACATCTTAACTGGCGCGACATGTTCTATAGGATCCGCTGCGCGCCAACATCCTGCGCGAACTTGAGTCGAGCCAACGGGAATGCTTCTACGGTCGCTATTTTGGGTTCTACTACCCTTCAGAAGTGCAACAAGTCTTGCAAGTGCGTTCAAGTGCTTTCTCGTGAACAGAGGCCTTTTGGTTTTCATCGTGCAAGTCTGCGATCCGCCTCTCGCGCCGACGTTTGCCACGCGCTCATAGATTAAGTGTCCTCTGGCTGTCGACCATCCAAATTATCTAGACCATTGGACTGGCGCTTGTCTCATACAGCCATGGCAACCGTTCCCGCACGTCCACCGGCGCCTTTATCTCTTCGCTGGCCAGCGGTGTTCACTACTGGACCAAGTACGTGGCCCTGCCATCTGAGCGGATTGTGCTTTCTTTGTCCCGTCGCGGCCAATCGGTCCATCTGGTTCTCAACGTGTGTCTTTGCGCTGGTATTCCCTTCATGATCAGACCCAATGAGATGGCTAAACGCTTTATTGAGTACACGAGCCCGGCCAATGCGTCCTTTACCAAGCAGTTTTGGGGCCTACTTGACACTACCTTGGCTCGACATTGGGGCAAGGTTGTGGGTCCCGCTCTTACCGTTAGTGGGCTAACCGCCTGCAGGCGCTATGCTTGCTTCTTGCACCAACCCATCCAACCCGGCCCCCTCGCCCTTCTCAATATGTTGCTGTTGGTGATATGACCTTCTTTCTTTTCCTTCTGTGTTTGTGGTTTGCAAATGGTGCAGGTGAACCATACGTTTCAAATTCCTGTGCGAGAGGAGGAACTGGAGCGCATCGTTACAGATGAAAACTTTGCCCTTGTTGAGAGTTTGGACCTGGACGCCGGTATTTTTGCCGAAGCGTCAGCCACCATTAATGTTCCGAGCCAGCCGGGGGAGATTAGCAAGGGGCGCATGTATGTTCCCCACGAAGGAGACGTGGTCTACAGTGGCTCTCAGATGCTCCGCGTGCAGACGTCAGACGTCATTGAGCGAGGCACCGGCGCCTGGGTCCTGATTTCCACCCAGGATGCCACAGCTAAAGCTACCCCGTCGCCCTCCGCGCTCGAGTCGTTGCGTGAGGCTGCAGGCTTTGCCGAAGCAGCCAGCAGCACCGGTACACGCCACGCCAAGCTGCCACCTCCACCTATCCACGACCCCCAGGCAGCCTCACCTCATCACATCAAGCAGCCCCATCCCCGGCCATTGGCTCTGCCCCCCGGGCTTGATCGCTTCATTGAAGACAATGACACATGGATTTTGAACCAGATGACCGGAGATGGGTTTGATGCCACCACAGTCTCGGTGCGGCTCCTCTCTCATTTGGGTATCCAGCACCAGATTTATAACGAAGACATCAACAGCAGCCGCAGTCGTGGTGCACCGACCGCCCGTGGCTTGATTATTCACTGCCATGGCGGTGGATTTGTCGCTCAATCCTCGCAGTCCCACGAGATGTACCTACGCCGCTGGGCCAAAGTCCTGCGCACGCCCATTCTTTCGATCGACTACTCTCTTGCCCCCGAGCATCGCTATCCCACGTACGATTGTTCTCAGCGCGCGTTACATGACGTTTTTCTTCGCGGCTTGTCTCCCCACAGCTAATTCGGCCAATCTCTGCTCTTGTCCTTTGATATTTTATTTATTTTTTATTTATTTTTTTTTTTGGCACGCGCCTTTTTGAATTGTTTCTTTACATTCACCTTTGTATTCCTTCACCTTTCCTCGACCATAGGGCGTTGCAAGAAGTGGTTTACGCCTACCGCTGGGCCATCACCCATGCCACCCGTCTTGGGTCGACGGCCGAGCGCGTCATTGTGGTGGGCGACTCGGCCGGAGGCAATCTCGTCACCGCGCTTGCACTGCGGTGCATTGTGGAGGACTTTCGTCTCCCGGATGCCGTCTTTGCCATCTATCCAGCCCTCGAGACACGGTTTCATCTGTCCCCGTCTCGCCTCTTGAGCGTCATGGACCCTCTATTACCTGAAGGGGTGCTGCGCAGCTGTTTGGAGGCCTACACGGGTCATGAGGCAACCACCTTTGACACCACCGACCCTTTTCTCAGTCCTCTTGTCGCGAGCGACGCTTTGCTGCAACGGTGCGCACCCAACTCGCTCTTCGTTCTTCGTTCTTCCTTTTTTTTTATAATTTTTGTTTTTATCAAGCCTTCCAACTAACCCTTCCAACCGACCCTTGTGCCTATTCACGAGCCTCATCATCGCTGCATGCGCCTGCCAGTCTTCCACCCATGTATCTACTCGCAGCAGGGCTGGATCCATTGCTTGATGATAGCATCATGTTTGCTCGACGCCTGCGTGACCTTGGATGTCCGGTCCATTTACGAGTCTTCAACAGCGTTCCCCATGGCTTTCTCAGCCTGCCGCGTGCTGGAGTAGACATTGAAGAGGCCAACGACTATTGCATCGAGAAAATGCGAGAAGTGTTGGCCGAGGTCATCAACATGACTCCACATCATCGGCGCGGAACCATGGGTCCTGAGAACCCGGTGCGCCATCCCTACCGCGACCTTCGTTTGAGCGTGGTTGAGGATGATCTCCAAGACGCCCTGGCAGCTAGTTTGGCCACGTAAGCCGAAGCTGTGCTTGGTTCAAATCGGCCTCTTGTTCATTTGCCAGTGGCGAGCAGAACTTTGTGTCTTCCGTGTTTCCGAAATCCTTGATGTCTTTTGTCTGCGACAAAGTGATCATTCGAATCGATGCCCCGTCTTGGATTGTCTTGGTCGACCGGGATGTTTTTACATTTGCTGCTCGTCTCTGATTTCCCTCCTTTTGTTCTCTTCTTCACTGATTATGTGGAGTCTGTTCGAGTCGCGACATTTGAATTCACTGACTGATCACATGCAAAACAACAAAAATCACAAAAATGGACCTTGTCTAGCACAAGCTCATGCACCAAGAAGCAAACGACGTTCAGATTTACTGATACTCTGCCAAGTGTTCGACTCGCAGCGAAGATTTGAGCTCATCCACACTGAAGCCGGCAAACGGGTAGAATTGAACAACCTAAGAAAAAAAAAAAGAATTGCCGCAACCCGAGCACAGCCATGTGAGCTTTCGAGCGACGTGACCACCAAGTGGTGTTGCTGGTCGATATGAACGCACCGTGGTGCCAGGTGCGAGATAAAAGGCGTTGTCGCTGAAACGGCCTTGAGCCCGGGTGGTGAGGACCACGTAGAAGGCTGGGCTCTTGGTTGACAACGTGATGTTCACGGTGCCATCCGCATTGGCCTTGGTTGCCACCGACGCATCGATGCTGGCGGCCGGCACATCCATGAATTCGGGGGTAGCCCACGGAATAAAGTTGTCGGACATGACTTGGCCCTCATCAGACGTGACCACGGCTCGCAACATGGCTTGCGAGCCGTTGAAGTTGTTTGCGTTGAAGTTTTCCAGAGTGAACCATTCGGTAACGCCGGCACCCCGCGCCATGTTGACGCGCTCGACTTGCCACACAGAGCTGTGGCCATCTGCAAAGCGAATGGTAGATACTTCAACCCGGCCATTAAAGGTGTAAGGGCTATCATTTTTGACGTAGCACACACCACCGTGCGCGCAGGTGGCCATGACGTCGGTGTAGATTGACTTTTTCATCAAGTAATGAAGGGGCTTCCAGCGCCCTCCGACCACCTGGCCGTAAACAGCTGAACCGTACTCAAGGCTACCCCAGCCACCCGTGGGCCAGATCTCGTTGAGCTGCCACGTCAGCACACCAAACTGGTTGCTGGCACGTCGTGTCTCGATGTTGCTCTTCATCTCCAGCGCTTGGCTGATCATACACTGTGAAATGCGTCACAGTGACAACTCTGTAAGCGTCGTGCAGCCAAGCGCAATGCTATTCTTCCCAGTGCGTGCATGCCGGTGGTGATAAAGGCTTGATGCAAGCTGCGCACAAACCTGATACAGCTGACGCTTGAAAGCCTCGCTACCAGCATCGTCCAAGTTTTGCTTGGTACCAAAATAGGTCTGCCATTGAGATTGATGCACAGCGTGGGTGCGTTAAAGGATCGGCCAAAGGCAACGAGCCCGCCACGAGGCTGTTTGCTTTGCGAGGTAAGCACAATACTAGAGGGAGTGCTGTAAGTACACGCACATAGATCAAACTGTCGCAAGGATAGTTGCGTTGGGCCATCACATTGTCGCCATCACATTGCTTCTCAAATCCACCTGCGCTCGAGCACAGCCAGCAGGATAGGAACTCCAGTGAGAAACGGGCAGGGAAAATGCCACAGCAAGAGTGCTGCCAAAAGTTCATCTCTTGACGCACTGTTGCACGAGTCGGCCGAAGCGTTGCCGTGCAGGCCCCAATGCTCTGGGGCGAGCGTTGCGCTCATCGACTCGAACGAAGACATGACCACACAGCCAAACTCTGACGCAAAAACATTCTCCAAGGCCGGGCCAGTCTAGCAAAAAGTAGCACGCAAGAACGCCAAAGGTGAGATTTGATGAACTGCAGCAGAGTCATGTCAATGCCACAAACGCGACTCTAGGTTCGGAAACACTAACAGCTGTCTTGGTAAAGGTGGTGGGAATGTTGGCTGAAAAGGGATCGTATCCATTGCCGCCATTGACAGAAGGAAAGCCAGAACCCTATGGCACCGAGGCAAGTTTGAAGTAATGTAAGCGCAAGATCATGTGCTGTCACAGAGTCCGTCGGTGACCCATACACATGCCACATACGTGCTGATACGGGCCGTGCGTCTCAAACGTGTGCGGTTCTGGTGGTACGGGAGGCAGGGGACCGTGTGGTTTGGGCCAGCAGGCTATGCGGTTGGGTCTAGAGCGTGCAAGCATGTTGTCAATACACAGGGGCACAGAAAGGATTGGACAAAAGGCGGGGGGTGGGGGGTGGGGTGGAGATGTGGAGCATTGGCTCACGCGTAGGAAGGTGTTGCAGTATTGTTCTTGAGATAGCAGATGCCAGAGCTCAAGATGGAGGCCTTGCAGCTTGTGGTGTTGCGGCAGAATTCGCAGCATTCAGCCTGGGATCCGCCAAAAAAGAACACACAACAAAGGAGATGAGAGGGGCAGATCATTAAGGCAATGATTTGCTTCAAAGCTCAGAGGCGCAAGTGTGGAAAAAAGAGGGGCTTACCGTAACGTTGTCAGAGGACATGGCCTTTGAGATCCAAGAAGAGCCAGCATCAAAGTCAATATTTTGTTGATAATCGCAGTGATCATCGGGAGCAGCCACGGGAGCTTCAGCCTTCTCATGCACCACCGTGATCAAGGGCTGACCATTGGGAGCGGCTACTCGAACACGCAGCGCATCAGATTGCCAGCTATGCGGGAGCAGGATTGCAATTGCTTTTGGGGCGGCTTTGCATCTCGACTTATACCCACCAGTCAAGCGGTTGACACCAGACTTCCAGCCGTCAGCAGGACACGAGGGCCAAACAACACGGCTCCCATCTTCTTCTGCCACAAGTGTCATGACAAAGGTTGCATAGATACCTAAAAAATGCCGGGGGGGGGTCCCTTGAGTTTACGTCGTCTTGTGCTAAAGAAATGAGCGACATGGCAAACGGCACTGACCGGTGTCACTGCCGATCACAACTTGGCACTCATTGCATCCATCCCAAATGCAGATACTCGGATGGTGGGAGAGACGGCGGATTTGATGGCGGAGCTCGGCGTCCTGGACAGCATCCTGAGTTGGAGCGTGACCGCGCTGGGCATACTTTGGAAACGCAGGGCAAGTAAACAAGGGGGCAGTTATGAGGTGCCAAGAGGAGTATCCCAATGAGGAAGGTAGAAATGAAAAACAACAACAACAACAACAACAACAACAACAACAACAACAAACAAGATTAAACGTCGGAAGTTATCGGAAGCCAGTAACTTACAGCCATGTCGTGGTAGACAATCATACCCAGCTTGTCGCACTCTTCGTACCACGCATCAGGGAGGAAGATGCCACCTCCCCAAACGCGAAGCGTGTTCATGCCACCGTCATGCGCATTGCGAACGATTTGACGGTGGGCCTCGGCAGACATGCGACCCTAGCAGTTACCCGTGCCTGTGAAATTGAGAGCGAAAAAGAGTTCACATGACAACTCAAAAGCAAGCCGCACCTCCAGGTTTTCCATGGGGATCATGTTGGCACCGCGGGAGAAGATGATGAGGCCATTGACGCGAAAGTACATGCCTGTGTTCGGAAAGAAACCCCATGGAGCGTCAGGGAGGATTCCGGCCCGTGAGTACGATCGGATGTGCAAACGTCAAACTTGCATGGCAACTAACCGTGATCGTCGGTGCCGTCCACGTTGGCATTCTTTGCCACATAGTCAGGATCGGTATCATTGCCCGTGACCAAGGCAAACATGCTACATGGCAAGCAAGCGATCGATGCGCTGAATCGGCAGAGCATACTGACTGTGGCTGCGTTTTGTTGCTGTGACAAGCGTACCGAAAGCCAATGCGGCGAGTTGTAGAAACTGCGGTGCCTTGCGTAGGCGTGAACGTGGCGCGCACGGTGTAGAGAGCCTGCTGCCCATAGCCTGCGGGCCACCAAAGAAGCATGTCCTCGGCAGCCACTTGAAAGGAAATGTTGGCAATATAGTCGCCCTGTCACCATTTGAGCAAAAGCAGTCGGACACAAGATGAGACGTTTGAGAGCTCACAGCTCGTGCTTCGATGCCAACCCACAGATCGAGGACGTACACCAGGAAGTGATACGTTGAGGCTGGTGGTGCCAAGCTCGCTGCCGACAGTGACAACTCCTTGAATAGGGGCGGTAGAATGAAGGTGGACATGGGTCTTGACTTCAAACCCTGCATGTTGGTGCTCTACCAAGGGCTCGGTAGGATAATCACCCTTGTAAAAAGTGTGGGGCACAAAGTGCGTAATGGCCACAGGTTCCAACTGCAAACCAGAAAGAATACAACAGCAACAGGAATGGTTGTGTGGTGAGGCAAGGGGGCGTAAATGTTTGCATGCACCGGCCGGCGTGCTGGCAGCCGGCCTTGGCTCTGAGCTGAGATGGAGGAAGAGTGTCAACTCACCTCGGCTAGGTAGACGCTTTTCCAAATGCCGCGTGAAAATGTCTTGGCCATATGGGCTGTATCCCAGTTGCCAGTGTACGGCGCCCAGTCCCAGCCACCAGCGCAACCCATGAAACGCCTGTAACAATTTAACCTTAATGAGACACGCGGGGGCGTGGGCCCTCCCCCCCCCCCCCCCCGCTCTCTCTGGCAGATGGCGCGTGCTTTCTTTTGGTCTGGCAGGCAAGGGCAAAAGCGCACCCGTTGACAAAAATGTTGTTCTCAAAGGCGATGGAGATGGTGTTGGTGCCCACAACAGCCAATGAGGTGACGTCAAACTGGTAACGATAAAACTGGTCGACGAGGTGATCGAGGGGCTCGCCATTAAAGCTGACCACGGCACCCATTTTAACGCCGTCCAAGACCAGAAAGAGAGAACCTGAACCACAGGCATGCCGGTGGCGCGTGAACATGGGCGAGGAAAAGGTAAATCGTGCTCCAGATGTTGCGATCCAAAAAGGTGGTGTGTTTCTGACAGAAAAAGCGAACCTTCTGGCTTGGCAGCCAGCTCAAAGGAAGTCGAGTACTCCCAGTCATAGTCGTTCCAGAGAGACGTGTTGCGAAAATTCACTTCGTACAATGGATCACCAATGACACCAGCCAATTGCAGATCCGTCAGAAGATCGCCGGGCACCTGTAATACAAAGAAAGGCCAAGTGCGTTGACGGGTATTGAGGAGGGCAGCGTTATAAGGACTGGAGTCGCCGGTGGCCGGGCGTTTGGTTGCACACGCGCGAAGTGACCCCACGATTTTAAACATACCTGGCCAGTAAAGGACATGCCGACAGCAGCCGACTGGAGCTTCCAGGTACCATCCAGGTAGGTCACATTTTTTGCAGCAAGTGGATAATCACGCAGATCTGGCTCTTGCAAATACTGACCCGCCGTCAGCGCGGCGCAGGCCAAGAGCAGGGCCATCATCGGGCCCAGCCGGTGAGGCTCCTTCATGTTGATCCAGCCACCAGCACGATGTAAGGAGAGGTTGGGGATGACTCGGCTCTGATGCAGTCGAGGGTGTACACCACACAACCGCAAGCAAGAACAACCAGCCAACAACTTCCAAGCGTAGCGCGCCACCCCGCGCTGCCCTTTTGCCGCCGCCTCTCAACGCGCCGTCAACGCTCTCTCCACTGAACACACACTTCAGTGAGAGAGAGAGAGAGAGAAATTGCATTTGAAGATGTCCAGTGCATGCATCTCTGGTGTTTGACGACATCTGCCTCCCTCTCTCTGATTTGGGTGTTTTGGTGTCTTTGTCTCTGATTTTTTTACTTGTTTGTGCTTGTTATTTGAAGGTTGTCTAGTCGTATCTCTGGTTCTGTCTTTGGTTTCGTTCTGTCTCTATTTTCTGTTCTTGTTTCAAATCTTTCACATACACACAAACACACAAAAAAAAAGGAAAAACATCAACAAAAACATGCTTTGAAGGCGGTCTGTGATGCTGACTCTGGCTCTCTGGCTCTCTAGCTCTCTGGCTGTGTATCTGTGTATCTGTGTATCTGTGTATCTGTGTGTCTGTGTGTCTGCTCTCTCACTTTTCACCTGCTCTCTCACTCTCTCTGTCATGAAGATGGTGGCAACGGAGGATGGATGTCGATGTATTCCATGCGTCCATGCGGACAGTCGAGGATTGCTACGGTTGCGAGCACGGTTGTGGAGATGCTCGACGACTGAATTGAATGGACGGATCGCGCGTAGCGCAAGATCAGCAACTGGTTGGCAGGAGACACGACACCAACCTAATGTTTCCACATCCTCCATTCGCTTCTGCTCCTCTCTGTGCCCTCACAAGGCTGGCCGCTGACCTCGCCTCAAAGTGGTTGGGGCACCCACGAGCGCGGCCTGGTTCTACCTTTTGTGCCTAATAACATCCAGATTAATTCATCTCCGCTGCCGGTGCGGCGACATCCTCGACATTGTCGTGATGGCCATGATCGCGATCCGCCGCTGCCGCCTCGTCCCGCGCAAGTAAGCGTTGCATTGGCCTGAGGGACAAAAGGCCTGCCAGCGGGAGGAGAGCCGTGGCCACCCAGACCCAAATCGGATCAAGCGGCGGCAGCATGGCGTTGCCAGCCGCCGCGTATTTCTCTAGCTCCTGAGCGTGAAGCCGCACCTCGGCCAGGTGCACCGCATCCGCCAATCGCCCATCACGCAACGCCACCAGCAAGCCTGACAACACAGGAGCCAACACGAGAGAGTATGAGTGCGTCAGGGCCGTGGACTCGAGAGCAAGACAAAGCACCCCTCTTCCCCCGTGACCCCGGCGGGCAAAAGCGGGCGTCAGACTGCGAGAGCGCGAGATACGTACCGAGCGCGTTGAAGGTGTCCGACAGGGAGCGCATTTCAGCAGCCTCTTGGTTGAATTCAATGTTTAGCGCAGCGTAGCTGGCGTTCACAAACTGATGGTACAACTCTTGAAAGCTGGAGGCGATCGCTGGCGCTTTTGTAAGCACGACTGGGCGCACACCATCGTCAATGCTCTCTTCGCCCAACACCTCGATCAACTTCTCGTACATAGGGCCCACATGCCTACCGCATGATGCGACACAAAATGAAAAAAAGATGATGAGAGGACGTGGGTATAGCTGCGAGGCTCGCCCGCGCGCTGCAACATACATGCGCTCCTCGTAGACATGGATGATGCGAGTGGCGTTCATCAGGACAGCTGCCGGTAATGCTGAGAGGTGAAATTGGAAATAACTCCTATACATGCAGAGCAAAGCAGCGGCGACATCAGACCAGGCAGGCTCGAAAGCGGTGGGAAGATGGGCTTGAGGTGACTCAAGACAAGTGAAGGCATCAACACCAAGGGAGGACGAACCCCTCCATATGCGTTACGGGGACCCAGGCAAAATGGACGTTGGAAAATATGGCTTGGATTACCCCAAAGGTCATCAATGCCAGCGGCGCATGGGGATCATTGGCAGTGTAAAACATGGCCAGCAAATAATCAGACCCAAGCTCTGTATTAAATGGCCAGGTCCGCCAGGAGGCGAGGCACAGAACGAAGTCGGAATGAACATGAGAGGAAAATAACATAGAAAGACAGGCAATGCACATGGTCAAGCAGCTCCACTCGTCAAACAACGGTGCCGCTCTCTTTTCTCGTACCGCTGCGACGCTTGACAAGTTGCTCGAGGTCAGCAGCCACGACACTACGAGGATAGAGCGGTAATTGCGCCGGAGAGGTTTTACGCATGGCTGAAAAACGAGGGTCCAACCACGAAGTGGATTGAAGTAGCTGTGCCAAATGGCCTTCCCCGATTCGATAATTGAGCTCAAAAAACGGTCCATGGACGCGGCGTTCCCCGGGCCTGGGTAGCAAGAGCAGAATCCAGGTGCGTGCGCGACGCCATGAGTGGTGCGTTGACATCAAGCCACACAGATCCCCCATTCCTCAAAGAAATGCACATCTTGAAAAAAAGAAAAGAAAAAAAGAAGAAGATCAAATCGGGAACAGGGGTGGCTGGAAAGCCACCACGGCAAAGCAGAACATACGCCAATGACTCGATGTGGAGCGGGGCACCATAAAGCTCGTCTTGTACACGACTCGTCCAGGTGCCGCACAACTGACGAGCTGTCACACATGTTCCATGTTCTGTTGCGTTGGGATACATCGCGTCCTGTTCATTTGCTGGTGCCACCTACAAAGCAAAAGGGTAAGCATGAGTTCTCAAACTTGAGAAAGTTGGGTCCAATGAGGCTCGCATTGGCCTGAACGCAAAGAGCCTCAAGTGTGCTGCAAATATGTAGATGAACATCCATTGCTGCATAATTTCCATACCGCCAAGCAGTAGCAGCAGTTCTCGTTGGCGCCACAGTCTTGCCATGGCTCGGGTGGTCTCAGAAACAGGCTGCCATCCCGGATGCTGTCCCCCTCGAGCGCAAGATGAGACCGGCTCAAAGCATACTGCCGACGGTGCGCTGCACAATGTCTTCGGCACGACGCTGCATTCTACATTGCCCATTCGAGGTCAGCAAAGACTCGACCCGCGCGCCTCCAGCTGAGTATGAACCAGTCGGTACCAACCTGGATGTGAACGCGAGACGGCACTAAGCAGGGCCACCTGCCATAGCTTTGATTCGAGTGGTTATTTCCCGGCAGTGCAAGGGCATCCGAGGTCTCGGCCAAGGCTGCGGAAGACCCAAGCAGCACCAAAACGCAGCACATCCCAGCGACGGCATGCCGCGACCAAGCACTCCATGTTTTGACGCTCATCACGCGCTGAGGCTGGTCACCCATGGCCACAAGCCTTGACCCTCTTCCCAACCCCTGGGACCACGCCCTACCCCCCTTCCTCGATCAAGCCTCGGTGCCGCAGGCGCTTGCGACAAGACAAACAACCACCGCCCCTGATCCCCTCTGAGACCAGCGAGCCCCGGCAAATCCTCCGACTCGAGCGCGCACAGAGAGAGCGAAAAGCAGAGAGAGAGACGCACACACATGAAAAGAGCAAAAGCAATTAAAATTAAAACGAATGGTTGTAAATTTAGAGGACACACACACACACACACACACACACACACACACACACACACACGAAACACTCTTGACACACACACACACACACACACAATGTATAATGTCAGATAAACAAAAAAGTGCTGACAATCTGTCGCCGGTTCCATGAAATGATGACAATTTGATCTTGACTGATCTGGGGTTGCAGAGAGAGAATGGCAGCACGGCGAGGCGGGTTGACCGGGGGGGTCAGTGGTGGTGGTGGTGGTGGTGGTGGTGGTGGTGATGGATCAACGGAGAAAACACGGGAGTATGGACGGCAATGGATGGCGCGGGATCCCAGCAAGCGCTGGGCTGAGCTGTTTTACTTGGCTTACGCGCCTGTTTGGATCGCGATGATTGCCGCGGTGGTTGGCTTTCAGTGGTACACTTGGTTTGAAGGTGGGGTCTTCCTCCCCCCTTCTCGCCCCAAGCTCAGCTGCAGCAGGGATTGCTCACGGGAGTGCGATTGTTGCCACTGCGTAGGGGTGCACTACTTTGTCACGGGCATCATCATTGCTGCTCCCATCTTCGTTGTACCGCTGATCATCAACCGTGAACCGATTCCTTGGCGAGAGCGCTTTTGGTACGTGTGTGCAGCTGAGGCTCTGCGCCCCAGCATTGGCATCGGCCCGCTCACGTACCAGCTTGACAACCATGGCCGATGCTCTGGCCCGGGATGGCACTTTACAGGTTCAAATCTTTGATCTGGCACGTTGTCTTCTCCTTTATCGGCAACCACTTTCTAACGGTGAGTGCGTCGGGCGTCTTGCTTTCACCGTGGGCCACCAACACCATCGGTGCCAAGATTGTACCTGACCCTCTTGGTTCACTGCTAGCACTATTTTTTTAATGTGTTGGGTTGCTTCTACACGGTGCCGACGGAAAACGGCCGCTATGAGTTTAACACTGTGCCTTGGTGCATGCATCTGATCACGGTGGCCTATTTTGCTTTTTACCACACCACCATCTCCATGCTCATGCGACGCATCGGCTATTGGACGACCGCCTGGAGCTGGGTGGGGCGCTTCCTGTTTGTCGCGGCGTGTGGCTTTGCCACTGCTGTGCTGGAAGCCGTGACCATATCTGCCTTTCCGCATTACGTTGGTGACCTCACCCCAGGCCCCCGAGCTCTTCACGTTGCACGCTGAGCCAACGCTTTATGTTCCTTTCACGTTTACTGTCGCTGCCACCCTCTTTTTAGCGCTATCCCGATGCATGGACCATGTATACACAGGGCTCTGCATTTTACACGCTCCTCTTTCTCGTCACTTTCCCTGCCTACAGCTTGCTGGACGAATTTCCCACTACCCGCCGCACCTGGCGCGGCTTTTTGGAACATGCCCTGGCCTGTGGCATGGCGGTGCGTAGCTGACAGATTGCAACACTAGTGATTGATTGCACCACGCCGTCCTGACCCATCTCGCTTCGCACACGACTGACTTGTGCAGGTGTTTATCTTGGATGACTTGTTTCGCCTGCTCGTGGGGCCAGTGACAGGCGTTGACGCTGCCAACAATTCCAGGTCAGCAGCCCACCCTTGTGCTGCGGAGATGCTCAAGGAAGTTTGGTCCGAGCGCATTGGGACAAAGCCTCACGTTGTGCCCATGGGTCAGCCCGCCATACGCGCAAGAATTGTAGACCGGCAAAAGGGACCCCACTCGCCAAGCAACATGTCGAAACAGCACGGCTTATTTTGGCTGGCTTCCATGCAGCGCGTGGTGGTGTCGAGGTCGCCCGAGTCCATGAACACTCTTTTAACATGTAAAAACAAACTTTTTTTAAAAAATTCAAACAAACTGGCCTCTCAATTGTACATGTCATCATCATCAATGTCGTCCTGGCCCATGTCCTCGGGCCCTGTGGTGGCACCCGACATGCCACCGCTAAACCCGGACCCCGAGGTGACACAATCAAGCAGGGTGAATGAGGATTGGCTTGAGCCCGAGAAGTCCAAGACAAGCATCTCGATGGAGCGACAACATACAACATGCTGGCAAGATTTGCCAGGTCGGGTGCCTCGCCAGACGCCGCTGCACCGGTCCCGCCTTGTTGCATGGCTGCAAAGCTGAGTGGGTCCCAAACAGGAAATGAATGAAGACAGAAGCCACAGGTCTGGTAACCAACCTCGTGAGCGGTGTGAAATACCCGGCTTACATGTTGTTCAGCATATCGGACATGGCCGGGGCTGGGGCAGCCGACGACTGCGAGCGCGCCAAAGATTCGGTTAGATTCGGGAAAAAAAAATGTTGGTAGAGTGAGGCATCTTTTGCTTTGCTTTGCTTTTATTCCTTTTCGTGATTGTCTCACCTGCGATGAACGAGTCGGCTCGCGTGGGGCTGGTGCAGCGCGAGGGGACTGCGCCGCTTCGCGTGTGGGCTGCCCTGCCCCACCCTCGGTTGGCGCCGAGGCGCCTTGGGAATTCTGATTCAAAAGCCCTGACAAAGCATCGCCCACACCCGGCTGACCCATGAGATTTTGTGCCATGGCTGCCATCCCTGGGTTGCTGAGCAGGTTCTGGGCCATGGACCCAAAACCCGGGTTATTGAGAAGATTCTGAAGACCTCCACTACCACCGAGACCAGCGAGCAACTGCCCACGCAAGAGAATCAGGTGTGACATGGCACAGGGGCAAACAAAGAGTGAGCTTTTTGCAATGGTCTTCAGTTGGGAAGGCGCGCCCCAAGCACAAGACATCCTGCCTCCACATAAGACGCACATTGCCCAAGGGATTCGCAGGAGCAGATGTGCCACTCGGGCCGGAGGCCGACGTGCTGCCTCCGCGCGGAACATCGCGGTTGCTGGTACTGGTTGAACTGGAAGCGGCTGCGGCAGTTGCGCCCGGCACCTGAGTCTGATCCTAAGATCAAGCCCCAAAAGCAAACCGCAACATCTGAAAATGAAAAAAAGGCATCTGCGTGGGGGGAAGGGGCGGGGGCCAAGCAAGAAGCCGTGTTGAGCGAGTCTTTGCCTCACCCGTAGCGTAGTCAGCCGAGCCTGGACGGATGGGTCAATCACCACAGCCTAACCACAAGAACCACGCAAGCGAGGCACAAAGCGTGTGGGCATTTGAGCGACTGCAATGGGGGTAGCTTGGCAACCAACACAAGGAAGTTTGGAGCTGGCGCTTGGTTTGAGGGCGGGAGCCATTGTTTGAAACTTACGCGCTCTAGGAAGGCAATGGCTTCGGCTTGGCGCTCCATGCTGGTCAGGGCGTCGGCAGCTCGGGTCATGGCTCGCACGTAGTGCGGGTCCAATGCGAGCGCACGCTGGCAATCGTCAAACGCCTCTTGATTGTGCTTTAGCCGCAAGCGAGCCAAGGCGCTAACGACGAGGACAGCAGCAACACAATGAGCATCGGCAGCTCGAGCGAAACACCAGGTCGAGCGCAAAACCAGAATGGGCATGGAGTGCAGACCGGTTGCAGTAGTAGGTGGCGTCTTCGCTACAACGCAAAGCTTGCGAGTAGCTCTCGATGGCAGCATCATAGTCATGGTCCCGCACTTGCTCGTTGCCTAAACAACATTGCGAAGCAACGCATGTCACCGCGGGTCGTGAGGCGTCGTGCCATCTGAGACACGAGGAAGTCCGACGAGATGCAGAACAGCGACGGGTATCGTCAGTGTTGCTTGCAAACCTTGGGTTTTGAAGGCTTCGGCGCGTGTACGGGCCTCGGCCTCGTCCGTGGGGATGCTTGAGAAACGGCCAACAACAGGCTGCAGATCGATCATCTCAGCAAGCTGTGTACTAGCCGCAACGTCGGGCAGGTCATAAGCAGCCTGCAAGCATTGAACCGCCACTGATAGGCGAGAGCCGTCACAGACACCAAGTGAGTTGTGGTCAGCATTGAACCTGTCCCCCGCCCCGACCAATCGCCTTCCAAACGACCAGATGGCAAGCACCCCCGGCGGGCTCCAGCCATCGACTTGATCAGCGTGCCCAAGACAGCGCTCCCCCTACCCCCTACCCCCCACAAGCACGCAAGTACCTTGAAGAGACTGCGCATCCTCTGGATTCACGTTCCCCAAGCGCTCTGCATCCGCGAGGAGATAATTGGCCACCAGCTGAGCCAACGCCTGCTTCTCCGCCCGCCACGCCATGATGCTCTTGTTCTCTCGACGATCAGCTCTCCCGCAAAATGAAGTTTTTCTCTCTCTCACATGTCTTTCTTCTTTATCTCTCTCAAGCTCTCTCTCTCTTTTTCTTTCTCTGTTGTTGCTTTTCTTCTTTCTGGTTCTTTTTGTTAGTTGTTCAAGCAAGGTGTTAAGTACGTCAGCTTGATGTGTCTGATGGTTGTGTGTGTCTGTGTGTATGCCGCCTCATGTTGTCCGAGTTGGTGCCACCATGCGGGGCGTAATGTGGCAAGGAGATTGCATTTCTCACGCCCCTCGCCCTTGACCATGAGGCATACACGGGTGATCGAGACTGAACAAAACAAAGAAGCGGATGGATGGAAAGAGGACTGGGTTGGATGATCGGGGATAAAGGTAGCCGGGTCGAACGATCCACGCCTGGACACACGGCACGCAAACCCCGACCCAAACGAGTAAGATTCACAACAGCACGGTAAGCGCTCGGAACCAAAAGTCATTCATCCGTCACAGAAGACGAGTGGAGAGCATAGGATACAGAGCAGAATCTGTAAAACAACTTGGACAACAGAGTGTGAAGAAACACCGAAAAAAAAACACACGCCACCACAAAAACCAATAATCGGGTTGCACAACAAGTCGACTGCACAACGGGTCGACTACACAAAGAGCCAACATGTCCTCGTGGCCACGAGGACATGCGGTGGACATGCCACATGTGGGCAGATAAACTGGGGCCGCCAAGACTCAGACGGTGTGACGGTCCGACATGACGCGCACAACAGAGCCCAGGCCAACCTTGTCCACCAGCTGCCAAGAGCAAGCGCACTCGTGAGCCCAAAGCAAGTGTAAGCCCATCGGCCAAGCGCCCAGGCAAATGGTGGCCATTTCAGACATACATGCTTGTGGAAGGTCAAAAGGGCGGCACTGTACGCCTCATCGGGCGTTTCCATGCCCTTGTACACGTACTTCATCATCACGTCACATTCCTCCTGCGCCAGACAGACCGAGCAAGAGCAGTAGCAGCAAGAATCAGCCGGCCGCCTGGTCACCCGTTCGGCTGGCAAGCCAGAGAAAATGGTGATGCTGCTGGGGCAGCTCAAGAAATCAGCACGTACATCAGAAAGTTGCTTGACAGTCGGGCCAATGTCGGCCTGCTTCATGCTGCTCACCACATCCAAAACCGTACGCAAGTTCTCGTTCTGGCGGCGAGGCAAAAATACAACAGAAACCATGAGATCCCACGGTGTGTGAATGCCGACGCTCTTCAACCACACGAGCCGAGCAGCCGTCCTCGGCAGCCGACGAACCTTGACGGCCATGTCAGCAGTGCCTTGAGGAGGGTTCTCAAGGGCCTTGTGAAGGGCACCAGCATAGTCCTTGGAGCTGATCAGGGTGCGGACCGCGTTGGAACGCTGCGAGACCTCGCTGGCAAGATCAACATTGAGGGTTTCATCGGTAAAGTTGTCCTCGTCAAACGCATCAACGTTGACCTTGCGGAAACCAGTGTTGCTCGTGTTCTTCGACATGGCTATTGGTTCTAAAATGGCAGTTGAAGCAAAGTCCACACGCCCTGCACATGCAACACGATGCATGAGGCAGAACCCCCTCGACACTGCATCGAGCAGCTTCCAAAACACCACCCGTCCTAAACTGAGAGGGCGCGCGGCAAGCCCCTACCACCTCTCCCACTGAAGGGCTTGCCCCCCCGCTCTTTCTCATACTCCAGTAGTATCCCTCCCGGTCCACCTGTCCCGTTAACAGGACGCTGCTCGCCGCCCGCCGCCGAGCACGCGAGCGCGCGCGCGCGATGAATTCAGTGCACTGAACGAACCTGGCGCCAACTTGGAAGAAAACTACAACACAACAGCTGTTGACAACGACGTTCGTAGCGGCAAATCAATGGAAATGATTTGGCAGTGTTTACCTGGTCAAATCTATTCAAAAAGACCCTCTGTGTATAAAATTGGAGGTGCTGTGTTTAGAAACAACAAAGTCAATGGAATAGCTGTCTCAAACGCCTGTTCTGGACAATTGACGCCAGGTTGGTCTGGGACAGATGAAATCGTCGCGCGCTCGCTCTCTGTCTCTCTCAAAGTGGCAGCCGGTCGTCAGTGGCACGGCTCCCGTCTTGGCTGAGCATGTGTCAATGGCATTATTTTTATGTGTAGTGTGTGGCATGTGCTCCGGACCTTGGCTCAATCGTGCCTTTGCGGCTGCCCACAACGCTTGTTCTTAGGAAAGCTTCTGGAGTCTTTCAGGCACACCGCCTCTTGCGCCCTCACGCCCGCCCACCTCGACCGATTCATCGGTGCCCAGCCAATCATCTCCGTGGTAGGTGAGGCGCCGTAGCATGCGTCTGCATTGGCATGAGACTGGTTGTGTTGTGCGCTTTGCGTGACAGAGCTGGAAGTCTCGGCGTCAGTCGCGTTGCACAAGCTCGCACTCACGGCGTCTGCCCGTCGTCCGCTCGCGGCCATGTACTGCAATTGGTGACAGACAGCTATCATGTCGCTCAAGAGTGCCGTCAAAACGGTTTTAACCAACGTAAGAAGACGGAAAGAAGAAACCGTGTTTCAGTCTTGCTGCATCCAACCACGCCACCTCATCATGTGCCGCCACTGTCCCACCAGTCCTTGCGCAGCGTTGCCGATGGCGGGGACTGGAAAGTGCTGGTCGTGGACAAGCCAGCCCTGCGCATGATTTCCGAGTGCGCGCGAATGTCCGAGATTCTCGACCTTGGCGTCACTGTTGTGGAAGATGTCTCCAAGCAGCGCAAGGTCCTGCCTCAGTTCCACGGCGTCTACTTTATTGAGCCCACGGAAGAGGTGCGATAGACGACAATGTTTTCCCTGGAAAACGTGAGAGCTCTAGCCTTGCCGTCTCATCTCCGAAAATATCCCCCTCCGAAAAAACAATGTTCGCTTGCACCCAACATGATAGAACCTGGACTATGTGATCCGTGACTTTGCTGATCGCACCCCAACCTACGAGGCTGCCCACCTGTTCTTCCTGTCTCGTACGATCCATGCCCCCCCCCCCCCCCCCAGCACATAGACCCTTACTTGTCAAGCTGAAAGGACCAAACTTAACCAGACGCTATGTCAACTCATTCTGCAGCCGTTCCTGACGCATTGATGGCCAAGCTGGCCAGCGCCAAGGCTGTCAAATATGTGAAGACTCTGAAGGAGATTAACACGCTCTTCATTCCCAAGGAACATCGCGTCTTCACGCTCAACGAGCCCCACGGCCTCGTTCAATATTATGGATCTCGCTCCTCCTCCTACAACATCGATGTATGCACGGCTGCTTCTGTCCCCCAAGATCCTTGCACCCCTTGCATTGGTGATGTTGCATGACCTCTGTGGTGAAGGCGCTGGCCTGACATTCAAAGTCCCTGCTTTCTTGCCCCTTGGTGTCCTGCAGCATCTGGTTCGCCGTCTTTCGACCCTGTGCACCACGATGAATGTGGCTCCCATTGTGCGCTACAGCAGGTGAGAATGACGATGCCATCCTTCAACTCTCCGATAATCTTGCCCGACGCTCCGCTCATACCCTTGCCTGCGCATGCGCGATGCTTTCAGCACCTCCACGCCAGGCACGGAGCGCATGGCTATGCAGCTGCAAAAGGAGATTGATATGTCGGTCTCTCAAGGCTTGATCAATGCACGCGAGGTTGGCTTTGCTCCATCTGCAGAATGGTGTTGGTCAAGCACAAGTCCTGCCCGTGTGATGCAACAAAACTGACCTCGACAACACGCTTGGTACCGCCCCTGTTCTCCTGTGCAGGGCAAGCTGAAGTCACAATTTCTGATTCTGGACCGCGCCGTCGACCTCAAGTCCCCTCTGGTGCACGAGCTGACGTACCAGGCTGCCGCCTACGACCTGCTGAACATTGAGAATGACATTTACAGCTACTCGACGGTCGACGGTACGAGGGGGCGCACTTTCTTCAACACTCTCATTGTTTGGCGCTGCCCGCCTTGCTTGTTGTCAATATATTTCACTAGCCGGGGCAGCTCACACAAACAACAACCGCCTCCACTCCACCCATTGACCCGCAGCTGGAGGCCGTGAGCAACAACGTCAGGTTGTCCTGGGCGAGGATGACGACATTTGGCTTCAGATGCGTCATCTGCACATCAGTGAAGTGTTTCGCAAGGTCAAGTCTAGCTTTGACGAGTTTTGCGTATCGGCCCGCCGACTGCAAGGCCTGCGCGACAGCCAGCAGGTTTGTATCCGCGCCTCCGACGTTCCCGCCGCTTGACGCGCGTCCTGGACGCGCGCCCTCGTTCAATACGCTGCCGTTCTTCTGCTCTTGTTCTCACCGTCTTGGTTCTTGGCCATGGCATGTGACTACTGCTGCCCCAGGGTGAAGGTGGTGCTGGTGCGCTGAAGCAAATGCTCAAAGACCTTCCCCAGCATCGTGAGCAGATGCAAAAGTATTCTTTGCATCTGGACATGTCCAACGCCATCAACATGGCCTTTTCCTCGACCATTGACAGCTGTACCAAGGCTGAGCAGGTAGGCTGCGTTTCGGTATATTTCAACTTCCCATCACCTGATTTGTCGCCTCTCCCAAGATGGGCCCACCCTTTCAACTTGACGTTTCCGGTGAGCTTCGACTCGTGCTCACAAGGGTACATGCAATCGTAGAACATTGTGACGGAGGAGGAGCAAGACGGCAACAAGGTCCGCGACTTTATTGGCGAGGTAGCCAGTGTAGTCGTTGACCGCCGTGTTTCGTAAGTGCCCTTGTCCTCCCCCTGAGCTACCCTGAGAATGCCGTTGGAATAACCCGCCTTTGGGTGTTGGCTGTGCAGGACTGAGGACAAGCTGCGCTGCCTGATGTTGTGCGTCTTGGCCAAGAACGGCACGTCCAGCCACGAACTGAATAATCTGCTCGACAATGCCAACATTGCCACCCCCAGCCGGTGCGTCGCGACCGCTCTCCCTTCTTTGAATGCATGCTTGCCTCTCACGGTGTCCAACCTTGCTTGATGTGCATGTGTCCAGCTCGGCCATCTACAATCTGGAGATGCTCGGGGCGACCGTGGTTGCAGATCGCCGTGGCCGCAAGCCCAAGACCATGAAGCGCATTGAACGCGACATGCCCTATGTCCTCTCACGCTGGACACCCATTGTCAAGGTGTGGCGATAACGAGGGTCAAGAGGGACATGCTCTTCGCCTTTTGTGTGTGGTTTTTGTTTTTTTTTTGTGTGTGTTTTTTTTGTTTTTGTTTTTTGTTTTTTATGTTTTTTTTCCGTCCCTTCTTCTCTGCCACTCACCCCCGCCAGCTCAACGTCGGCCGGTCGACATATTTGCCTTGCCCAACAGGATCTGATGGAATACATTGCCACCGGACAATTGGACCTCGAATCCTACCCCGCTGTTCGGTAGGTCTCGAGAAAATCCCGCCTTGCCATTAATCTGCATGCGTGGGCGACGATCGTGCGCCATGCTCGCTGATCCGCCGATCTGCACCCGTTGGTCCCTTGGATAGGGATGGACCCAGTGTAGTGCAACCCAAGCGCGCCAGCAAATCGGTTGAGGAAGACGATGATGGACCGGCGACCTCTGCGCGCAAGTGAGTTTTCCTGCCATCGCCGCCGCAAATCACGGCAACGCGTGCCCTGATGCTGCGCAAATCCTTGACAGGCGCGGCAACTGGGCCAAGAACAAGGGCAACAACCGCTCGCTGCCCTCGACCCCGTCGGGTGTCGCTGTCTCTGGTATGTCATGGCGCTGGCAGCCAGCACTTTTTTTCTTGTTTGGGAGGGTCAAGCATTTGTGGTGTTGGTGCGTGTGTCTGTTCTTTGACATCTTGGTGATTCCATTAAATTTACGGTTTTGTTTGGGATACGCTTAGGCAATGGCGCCGCTGGTGCTGCGGAAAGCGCCAAGCCCAAGCTTTTTGTCTTTATCAATGGCACCGTGAGGTGAGTGACTCTGCACCATGGTGGCGGCTCGATGCAAGAGGGGCTCACATTGATCTATGCATTTGCCAGCTACAACGAGATTCGCTGCGCATATGAGGTCAGCCAGTCCTCGGGATATGAGGTGTACATTGGGGCCCACAACATTGCCACCCCAGCAGAGTTTGTTGAGCTCGTTAGTCTGCTGGACAAAGCCGACCAAGGTCTGTTCGAGCAAACTCCTTGCTGGCAGCATGTTGGACCTGGCTGTATTTAAAGGACCCTTTCCTTTGCTTTTTCACGCTCATGAAATCGTGTGCCACTGTTTCTGTCGACCCCACAGATGTTCAGGTGCTGACACAGGGTCAGGGCGACGGTGGCTTGGTCATCACGACGGGCAGTGCGCAAGCAGGTCTCAACCTGGCCGAGGTGTAAATTCAGCCGTCCTCTGTATTTTTGTTGAGACTGCTGGTCTCTTTTGCTTTTTTTTCCTCGCCCTTGCCACCTTCATGACTGGCTCTCATTTGATGATGAGGTGAGCAGCTGGCAACTCGTTTTAATTTTGTCGTCTTTTATTGTACACACCCCAATTGTACTCCGTGTACTTGAACAACATCAAGTGCAGACTCTGGGAAAAGAAAAAGATGAGGAAGAAAAGAAACAAACAAGTTGAAGAAAAGAGTTGAGCCTGAGAAGATGGTACACACAAAAACTGACGGTTTGAAATACCAACGCAGCGTCGGGCGCACACATGATAGGCTTCTCCGCACAGTGGGATGGCAAGAAGAACCGAAAAGGGTGTCGGTTCTGTGGATCCCATGCCATTTAGGAGGTAGGTGGATAAGCAAGGTGCCTTCTGGAACGAGGGCTCAGATGGCTTGGTAACTGTTGGGGCTTGGGAAAGCAGGCTTATCTGGAATATTCTCCTTGCGGCAATGAGCCACCAAGCAGCGACACCTGAAGAAAGAAACAAAGAAAAATATGGGACATGCGCGTCACGCGCCAAGTCAAGCACGACCATGAGCAGGGAGAGGGTGAAGGCTTACCACCACCACGAAAGCCGGAAGCCATCCTTGATCAAGGGCGGGAAGGAACACCAGAAGGTCTTGTGAACAATGAGCTCGGTCCCGCGCTTGCCGTCTCGATACAACAGCCTGAGATGGTTGCACGGCCGTCAGGCAATGAGACGGGATCGCGAGGCAAAGGCTGACTGGACCAGTGAGCCCACGGCAGGCACATACACGGCACCAATGATAAAGTAACAAATCAAAGGGATGAAGAAGCAGAGGAGCAAGATGGTGCCGACATCATCTTGTTTCTGCCGAGTGGAAGTACCATTGCCATTGGCAGGCTGATCACCGCACAGGTAATCGGAATAGACGTTAAATTCGACGACACACTGCGAGGCCCCGACCAACATGGCGCAATCACGGCAACAAGCGTTTGAGCGTGTCAGGATGATCAAGCCAAGGCAGGAAGGGCTTACGAGCGGCCAAGCTCGAGGCAGCAAGACAGCAGCAACACAGGTGTGGCGTTTGCACGCACGTCAAGAGATGAGTCGGACACTGTTTGAACGTAGGTTTTTGAGGCTTTTGTATCGCACTTGAAGTTGATTGTGGTTCGAGATCTGCGAGGCCAAGGTGAAGCGGTGCCCTCGCAGGCCGTGAGGTGACGTTTGAGTATCAAGGCTCAGGATTTGCTATGCGGAACCATGTGGACTGACAAATGACCATCATCGGCATAGGTGCACTCGTCGCCCTGAAGGGTGGCGATGGCAACGGTATCGTTATTGCTGAGGGGTGTCTGGTAATTGGTCTCCTTGACCTGCAGCGTGTTGAGATAGCCATCTGTTCAGGGAGCCACGTGCAGTGAGCCTGGGGTGGTGTGGCGAGGTGCAGACTGGGAAGCGATGCTTTGTGCACGCACGGAACGCGGACGTACAGTTGACTTTGCCGGTGGCACCGTTGAAGACCTCGCAGACCATGGTCCCCGCGGTACAGTAGCCGCTGTCAAAGTGGAGCTGTTCGCAAATGTTGAGACGGTACGTGTATGCCTTTGAGAAAAATGAGGCGCTCGAGTAATCCGAGGTGGTTGGCGCCGCGAGTTTGTTCAGATCAAATTCAGAGAGCTAGCAGTAATGGAGGCCATGCAAGGGGCATCGTAAGTGCTGTGGCGCACCGATACGCGTGCGCCGCGCAAGAATGGGGACAACCCTAGCCAACACGGCCGGTCGAACCGAGCTAGGTGGCAAACCTGGCAGCGAGGGGAGGCGTGCAGCTGCTCCTCCGAGGATCGATAGGTGGCACTGTCGGCCGCCGCGGTCACCAGCAAGGCCGCGATCAAAGCGCGCACAAGTGAAGATGTCCCCATACTGATTGTGCAAGCACCACCAGCTGCACGACACGACACTGTTGGTACAATCTATCCAGCTTCACCAAACACTGGACAAGCGGCTACGCTCTCAACAACAAGCAGCACGCGGCAAATTACACACTGCTGTTTCTCCATCTACAGCCCCAGCACCAGAGAGCACCAGAGAGGACCAGCAGCCCCAGCGAGAACCAGCGCAACAGAGAGCACCAGAGAGAACAAGCAGCACCCGTTCACCAGAGTATCAGCGCACCAAAGAGCACCAGAGGGCACCAGCAGGCACCAGCGGGCACCAGAGTATCAGCGCACTCGAGGGCACCAGAGAGAGCTCAGAGGGCACCAGCGGGCACCAGAGTATCAGCGCACTCGAGGGCACCAGAGAGAGCTCAGAGCACGATCGAAATGGACATGTGGGCTGCTGGTGTTTCTGGAGGCAGAGACCGTGTGGGGTTGGCGGATGTTATGAAGAGGTACGTGGTGATGCAGATATAATTTCAGAGAAGAGAGCGTCTCGTGATGGTCCAAGGCTGACAAGTCCCTTTAATTTACTATACGTTCAGAGATGTGTTCTACAGAGGATGAAGATGTAGAGCACATTGCATAGCATAACGTGAGCCCAAGAGACACACATGATGGAGAGAGGGTAGCAGCTGCTGTGCCGATCGCACCATGCTGCAACAACTCCCGATTCCGCTTCACAAAATATGTTTACTAACATTAACAAAACAAATAATAGTAAAATATATTCCACATTTACTCTTATTGTCATACAAATGGTTTGCTTGTAAGAACCAACTTTGTCATTTGTCACACTTTTAAAACGAAAAGCGATAGAGAGAGAGAGAGAGCGCGCGCGCGCGATGGAGCTGCATCGAGTGGCATCGGCAGGCGGGACGCCGCTGCCAAAGGGTGAGTGGGCCGGTGTGCTGGCGGCGGTATGAGTGGTGTTGGGCGCTGGTTGTGTTGGATGCAAAAAAGGTTTTGCCTGGGGTGTGTTTTGTGCTGACCGGTCGCTCCTGCTCTCCACTGATGTGTGATGATGGTCAAACTTGATGACGCAGCGGCTGCCCACCGGCGATTGGAGATGACAACGTCTGGCGTCACTGCCTCGGACCAAGCTGAAAAGGCTCCCACGCTCAAGGTCTGCTCCTGCTTGTGATCCTTGTTATTCCATGCCGACCTGCTCGTAATGACGTTTCCCTTTTGCCTGTATTCGCCCCGCACCCCGTCAACTTCTTCTTCTTCTTCTAGCATCAACTCAACTCGGAAGAGAATAACCTCAAGCGGAGCCTTCTCCATCGCCATGTCGACATTGGTACGGCTGCGCCAGGGACTGAGTTTCCCAATCACCTTCTCTGTCTTCTCTCCGTTCCAGTCCAACTGTACATGTGCACACGCTTTCCCCGTTGTGCTGGGACTGCATGCCTCACTACCGCCTGGCAACCGGACCGACCGAATGACAGATTTTCCGGATGATTTCGATGAAGACGATGTCACCTGACCTTGTGGCATGCTTGCCCGTGCTCCATGGCTGCCATGCGCTGCGATTCGGACGGGCATTGTACATAGTAGACTCCTTTTCCAAAGCGTGACAACAGCTCGAGGCGTCGCCTCTTGTCAACCTTTTCTTTGCCCTTTTCGCCCATCAATTGTCAATTGCTTCGTGATCAAGTGGACTTTGAAAGTGACACCAAGCGTGCTGGTTGGGATGGTCGCCCCCACGACAGCCACGCAACCATGCCACTCGACTTTTTGTAGCAAAGCTGATGCTCTCGTGCGTGACGCCACCGGGCATCACGGCAATTTCAATTAGTCGGGACGGACAAACGCGCACCCAAACAAAACATTGGCAGCAAACACCTCAGACATGGGCAAGGACGCGCACGAACGAGCACGCGCACAACAAGATGATTGCCTAACATGGAAAATCAAGGCAACACCGACACACAACACTTGATTGGTGCATGGAATCACAAGGACGCACAGACCCTCTGCCACGGACATGCAGCAATTAATCCAACAAACACAACAGAAGAGGGGTAGAAGAACACAACAAGGGGAACAAAAAAAAAAAAAAGCAAGGCAAACCGCTAAATGTACACTGTACTCAACGCAAGGGGGGAAAGAGATTTAAAAGGCAGCATCAGCACTGGGAACGTGAGCGCGACCCCGTGCTACAGGCTGGGCTCACTGAGGGTGCTCAACATCCAGATAGCCGTCACCCTCTTCCTCGCCCTGTGCCGCTGGAGGAGCGGCTGCGGGTGCTGCACTCTCATCAAAATCGAGGTAACCATCCGTTTCCTCCGCTGCGCCGCCCAACTGTGGCACTGCCGGGGCAGCAGCTGTGGCCCCTTCGTCAAAATCGAGGTAGCCGTCCGTTTCCTCGGCAGATGCCCCCGGTTGAGGTATCACTGACGAGGTGGGCGCGGCTCCCTCATCGAAATCGAGGTACCCGTCTGTCTCATCTGCGGCCGTGACCGGCGCTGGCGGTGCAGAAGTTGGCGGTGGAAGGCCGCTTCCAGGATGCTCCACATCCAGATAGCCGTCATCTTGGGAGGCATCCGCGAGCGCCGCCGCGGAGGACGCAGGCATGCCACTACCGGGTTGCTCAACGTCCAGGTAGCCATCATCCTGGGTGGCCTGGGGTTGACCCATGGCAGCAGCGCCCGCGCCCGCCGCACCACCCGCACCCGATTCCTGCACATCAAGATATCCATCGTCATGATTGACAGCGGCCGCGACCGGCATGCCTGCCGCCTGAGCTTGACCAGGTGTGGTCACGTCCAGGTAGCCGTCGACGTGACCAGGTGCCGGCTGGGGCCGCATGCCTGCTTGGGAATATTGGTCCTTGCCCGCACCGCCGACGGCAGAAGCGGCTCTGTAAGCTCCATTGCTGGTTACTGTGCGTGGTGCGCCATCGGCAGGTGCTGGGCCCTCTTCGTATCCTGGATTGAAGATGGGGGCGTGCGCCGACATGTTTTCGTACATGCCAGCACCCTACCAGCAAGTCACGGCACAACCATCAAAATGAAAAAGCCGGTGAATGCCCCTCAAGCCAGGCACCTGCGTTGCCATTACAATGCCGGGAAGCAAACCTCGGAGGGGCGAGGGCCACGGTAGCCGGGATTGGAAAAGCTTGTGATGGACTTTGGCATGCGATGCTGAGATGACACCGTGATTGCAGGTCGATGCGGGCAGCAGGTAGCAGCCTGATGAGAGGCGAAATGATGGAAGGGCATCATGGGTGCAAGCAATGAGGCCAATCCAGACTCATGACCGACCTCACGGGTACTAGAGGGCTTGCCCTTGCAACGGCAACAGATAATCCAAATGGCAGCAATGGCCAAGAGAACGGCAGCAGCAAGTACGCCTACATGTCCCAATTTCGTGAGTGAGCGCAATGAAAACCAAAGAAGCACATTGGGCGGCAATTGGGATGGGCATCACCAGCAAGCGCACCATAGAGAACGGGACCCTGAAACACGTCGTCGTCGTTGCTTGTCGACTGATCGGTGCCAGCAGAGTTAATCTCGCACTGCTCCCCCTCGTACCCCTCGGGGCACCTGGCGGTACCAAGTTGAAACGAAATCAGGCCAACTCAAGAGAGAAAACACCTGATCTTCATTGACAACACAGAAAGGCAAGGTGGAGGGCCACCTACTCGCATCGATGCCGGTCTCTGCTGACGGCCGAGCACACTTGATAGCTAGCACAAGGGCTTGCGTTACAGGGGTTTTCGACTGCCAGGTGGCGCAAAATTCAACAAAATGGCTCGGTAAGCTGTCAATCGGCCATACGGCGAGCAAATTGCACGCCGTTCCTCTCCCTCTCCGACCCCCTTGTCCCTCTCCCTCTTCTCCTCCCTCGCACGTATTCCTCGGAACATACATTCGCAGTTGTCACCAATGTACTCATCGGTACAGGAGCAAGTGTAGTTGCTGGCTTCGGCGTTGCCTGCCGCGCAGGTGCCACCGTGCTGGCAAGGCGAGGGATTGCACACTAACAAGCAATGAACGAGCGAGATTTGAGTTTGTTGAGCGGGGCGCACGGAGCTTTGAGCCAGGCAGCAGGGAGCAAACAGGCACGTGTTCCTATTGCACAAGAAAGCCTCACCTTCCATGATGTCGCAATTGGGCCCAGTGTAGCCGTCTGGGCAGGAAACATCTGCAAATTGGACAAGAAACGTGAGCCAAAGCAAAGTGGCGTGGGGTGAACTAAACCACGGTGAGCAAAACCTTTAACCCACTTGCACACAGGTCTCCACGCCATCCATCGGTACAATCGCAGTCGTAGCTGGTGTTGGAAGTGACGACGCAGGTTGCTCCGTTCTGACACAGATTGTCGGCGCCTGGAGATGCGAACCAGAGCACGCGCACACAAAAAAATCAATGCAGAAGCTTGGACGAGACAACTGGCGTGGCGCACTTGGAGCAATGGAATTTCTGGAAAGAAAGAAAAAAAAAAACATTGAGACTTACAAGAATCAATGAACTGGCACACCGTGCCACCAAGGCCTTGCGGACACCTGACAGCACCCGAGCGAAATGGATCAGTAAGTCGCTCATTGAGAAAGCTCCAAACTGCAAACAGCTAACGGCTTAGGATCGCTGCCGAGCATTGATGACCAAGAACATGGCAACGTGCTTACAAGCAGGTGAACGAATCAAAGCCCGCCTGTGTGGTGCAGGTACCGCCATTGGTACAAGGGTCAGGGTCACATTCATCGAGATCTGTCTCACAGATAGGACCGCCCCAACCAGAAGGACTAGAAAAAAAAACCCCCCAAATGTGAGGTAAGCACTGGGGCAGGGCAGGGACATGGCACGAGCATTCCATCCGTGATGATGGCTCGAGGCCTCATGAGCAGCCACCGTTGAACGAAAAAGGCAGGGAGGCAATCCTCACCAGGCACACTCAAAATTATCGTTGGGCAAGGAGAAACAGGTTCCGCCGTTGCGACAGGACACGCCCTCGTCGCAGTTGACCTGGATCGTACAGTGCTGTCCGTCCAAGTAGTCCGGGCAGTTGCACGTGTAGCCGTTAATGCCTACGTTGACGGGCCGGAATGCGTGTATTTAGCACACTGTGACCCCTTCCAGATGCAAGCGGGGCGCGGCAAGCAGGAGGCCAGAAATTTGAAAGATAACCAACGCACCGGGAACGCAAGTGCTGTTGCCAGCACAGCGCGGCTCGCCCGTCTCGTTGTAATACTTTTCGCAAAAGTCGGTGAAATCCTGACAATCAGGGCCGCTGTAGGCGGGATGACAGGTACAGTTGTACCCATCCCCTGAACAGAGTAACGGTAGCCGATTCAGTGAGACTCATTGGCATAAGAGATGATCATGTGCGAGCAGGAAGCGTGCTCGATGAACTCGTCTACAAGCATGGAAAAATTACCGAGGTTGGTGCAGGTTCCACCAACACCGCAGGGGTTGCCGTCGCAGTGGAGATCGACGTTGCAATATGGGCCGACCCAACCATTACTAAAAGATGAAGGGTGATACCGGAAAGAAGCGGCTGAGTGCAAGTTGCGTGGCCGATATTGAAAATCGGGGCAAGAGCCGAACCAAAAGTGCACAGGACGAGGTCAAGGGGCGAAGGTGGAAGATAAAAAAAAAACCACATACTCGCACGGGCTGCAAAAATATGGGGAATCCTCGGGCGCCTTGGGAACGTTGTTGATGCAAGTGCCATGGTCGTTGCAAGGTGCCTCTTTGGTCGTACACTCGTTGACATCCACGCAGGTGTTGGCGGATACACGCGTGGCCGCACCAAAGCTTTCGCACTCGGCCACAGTCACGCAAGTGCCGTTGGAGGTGTACGGGATGAAGCCATCGCTGCATTGAAGGCAGGTGGCGGCGGCATTGGTATGGCAACGATCGCAGTTGGCGGGGCAGGGCGTGAGACAGCTGGGGCCACCGTAGCCCTGCTCGCATTCACAGCGAGCGGGGTTGGACGCGCTGATAGTCATGCTGTACTCGCTGCAGTTGTCGACGCAGATGGGGAACGGGGTCAAATACCATCCATTGGTGCAGCTGGTGCAGGTGCCAGCGGTGCATTCACAGTTGTGCGGGCAACTAGTCAGGACAAGGAATCGGCAACAAACCGGCGGTGAGCGACGCATTAGGAACCAGCGCCTTGTTTGCAGTCAACGCACGCCCACGGTGCGCGCGCAATGCTGAGCTGAGTGAGATGACAACAAACAACAACAACAGCAACAACAACTCCTCGACAAACGGTTGATCGAGTCGGCAGCCATCCCATGACACGAAATCCCACTCAGACATGACCAGATCTCCGACTGAACTGAACGTACTCATCGCGACCATCCAAGCCATAGAGGTCACCACCGAGCTGCCGCTGATGCAGCACGGTAACGGTTGCGGCAAGCGCAGCCAGCAGCAGGCCCACGGCAAGCAGTCGCATGGACCGGCCCGGCATGACAGCATTGGAGCTCAAGCCCTCATCGTGAGCGAGGTGGTGCGTCCGTGTTGATCCGCTTCTTTGAACACCTGCATTTGACAGCGGTATGTACCGCGCTGCCTGACGCTGCCCCTTCATCGCCGCGACACGGGAAGAAGCACAAAACGGAAAAAAAAAAAAAAGAACGACAGAGGCAGAGCGCCAGAGGTGGCAACTTGACTGGCTCGGTGTGGAAGAGAGTTGGCTATCTTGGGTACCTTGGCGAGAGAGGATTGCTTGGTGTGAATGCGCTGGCTTGCAAACACCAAGCCAAACGCAGAGGTACAGTTGATATTAGGATGACATTCAGAGATCAAGTAAGGAGGAAGTGAGTTCCTGAGAGGCATGTTCAAAAGCCTTCAAGGCCAGCGCTCCGGAGTCGCACCCCGCCCACATCTATAGTGTGGTCACAGTGACACTTTAAAACTGTATATGTGTGACCAGTATCACACATGAGTGGGGTCTTGCTTGAGGCGCTACCATCTGTAGTGATATTCTCACTGTGTTCGTGGAAAGGCGCGCTGCCCGGTGGCTGGCGGGATCTGCTGCTGGGCGATGAGGGAAGGTGGTCTGGTCAACTTTTAGAAACGGGCGCGCTATGCGATCGAGGAAGCTTGAAAGGCGCAGAAACAGAAAGAGCAACCAGCGTGATCTTTGGCTTTTACTTTCAATTTTTCCAATAGAAGGGGAGCATGCATAAAAACACTCAAGACGCTACAGCAGGCAGCTCGCCGGAGTCTGTAGCTTGCTAAACAACAACAGCGACACAAAACGCCCAATTTCAGAGAAGTCAAATTGGCAAACAAAACTCTAATAGAGCTCCGGTCCACGTTGCCAGCACTGCGGGTCAACCGTGCCGGACACTCTCTTTGCAGCCGTAACAGCGCACATTCCTGAACACGCAAACTCCCACACGAAAAGCAACCGGGCCACTTGACTCAGCGCTGCGACCAACGATCCGGTATAAAGTTGGTTGCTGCCCACTCGTATGTTGCTATCATGTGGAACAATAAGAAAAGGGGGAAACGTCTGAAAAACAAAACTAAACCAAAGAAGCCAAAACTAGGTAAGGCGGGGCAACGGCCTGCGCAGCAGGCGGTCGCGCGAATGAACAAGTTGGATGATGATGCTGACGAAGATGATGACACGAACACAAGCACGCGCGAGCGCGACCACCACGGCCCTCGTTAGCTGGGAATGGGCGCGACAACGGTGGTGTCTTGGACGGGCTTGGCAGAGCCTGCGGAGACGGCTACCATGGTGGTCATCATGTTAGCTGCCGCCATGTTGTTAAAAGGCATCATCGGGTACATCATGTGCATGTTGCCCATGAAGAAGGGGTTGAAGGCCATGGGGTGCATCATGGCACTACTGCTGGGTACGGTGGTGGCCGAGACAGGCGAACTCTTGAACATGGCCATGCTGGGCATGGTAACAGCGGGCAGCATCGAGCTGGGCATGATCGAGTGGGGTAGGGGCAAGTTGAAGTGGGCGGGTGCACTCAGCATGCCAGCTGGAGGCGAAATGGTTTGGGCGTGGGCCGAAAGCATGGAAGAGGGGCCAGCGCCAGCACCAGAGGAGTTGGATGAGGATCCTGAGACAATGGCTTGCAGGTCCTCGGTGCCGTTGCAGCGATCTTGATCCAGCAGACGCAAAAAGCGCGCGCGCAAGGTCTGTCATGGCATCAGGTCCAGGTGAAGTGAGCATGGCAACAGCACGCATATGTGGCTGACGGTTAACCCGCTTAAAGGAGATATGGTGTGCGTGCTAGACTTTGACGCGTGACTCACCATGCTGCTGGGCTTGTTAGCAAGGGACGAACTCTTGGCAAGGTCATTGAGCTGTTCGAGCAACTTCAAAGCCTTGTCGGCCGTCTTGGGCAGATGTTGGCGATCCATGCGCCAAGCTCGTGAGTGGGACGGCTGCCAGAAGCACTTGTACTCGGAGAGGCAGTGGCGGATCGACGTTTTCCATCGCGCGCGTTGGAGAATGTTGACGTCGGCCTGATGGGCTTCGAGCCAGGCGCAGATCTGCTTGGTGGTGAGACCGCGCTCGCTGTCGTGGTCGGCCAGCGCCAGCGAGACGCAGGCGGCATAAGTCAAAGGCATGATCTTGGTCTGGTGTATTCAGATAAGAAAAGGACAACCAAAAAAAGAGGAGGGGAGGGAGGGTAGCAAGACGGCGTGTGGGATTTGCGAGTCGGTGCTCGCTCGCCGGGGAGAAGGGTCAAGTCAAAAAAATGCGAGTGTGGGTCGTCTGAGATGAACAAGTGAGGGTGGTTCGGAATAGGGGGTTCCCCTTGGTGTATCCACACATTCGCGTAAACCAGGCGGTGGATGCAGGCCCTGAAAAGGGGTGATCACCTGTGGGACATGGTTTAGAATAAGCCTGAGGGTCAGGCGGGGTGCGGTGGTGGGTGCCCGATGGTGGGGGTTGCTGCTTTTTTTTGGTCTCTTTGGGGCAGGTTTGGGCGGGTTCTTGAGAGGTGATCAGCGAATCAACGCGTCGAGTTGCCTGTCCACGCATCGGAGGGTGGTGGGGGTGTTCTGTGGAACCTCGTTTAACATGGGGTGATTGCATCGTGGTTGACGCTGCGCAAACTCGGCATGTCGTTCGCCTTCCGACTTTCTTCATCTTAATGTTTGATGACTTATCATGAAGAACCAACGTCGCGAGTGTTCTTGTGCCAAAGTCAAAGGTCGGATCCTTGGGGCCTCTTCAAGTCGGAACTGCTGGTTGGGGGCTGGTTCTGAGGAAAGATTAGCAAGAATTGTACAAGCACACATTGAAAGTGGACATGATAATGTGTGGAAATGGACAAACGACAAGGCGTTGTATGTTCTTTTGTGTTAGCTGTGGTCGCTTCGACCCCCCCTTCCCTTGAGGCATTGCAAAGCAAGCAGAGCAAGTACGTGAATGAATGAACCCTACGAATGGTTTTCTTTTGTTTTCAAAGTGTTTTTATCCTTTTTGTTTGTTGAGTTATTTTTGGTTCTTTTTTTTTTTAACATGTATGTGGTTTTGCGAGGTCGGATAACAATGATGATGTGGGTGGGGTCGGATATGGGGCATCTCATTCGAATGAGGGGTGTCGGGGGACAATGCTTGGGTACAAGGTCCATGGACATTCACGCATGAGGATGCGAACCATGTGATGGCGCCTGTTGGTGGGGGTGAAAAGCCCTATACCGGTTGGATTTTGTCAGTCCTCCACATCGCTGCGAGGATGAGACTACGAAACAAGGATGCTATAGCATCCTATTTTGTCACCTGAGCGCCAACAGCTTGAAAACGAATCAAGCAACACCCGGACATTGCTTGCATCAAGGAACGCTCGCTCGCCCTTCGCGGAAGCTTCGAGAAGACAGCTGTGCCCTTTCACGATGGCGAAACTTCAATCATCCCCAAAACTTGGTGTAGATGGGGCATGTTGATTCCGTTTAATTCTTCTGTTCATGGGAGGCACGCGCGTTTGCCAGGCTCAACGTCGTCCTTTTGGTCGTTGATACCCGTGCAGACACAATGTCACGCGCCCTCCCACCACCCTGCCCCCTTCCAAATCAGCCAAGGGGGAGTCCAGCTGCCCCGTGGAGCAGTGCCTTTTCGGGTTGTCGTTCGATCCGGTACTGGCTCCGTCGAAACCGAAAGGCACCACCACTCAAGTCCGACTCGATGGATGCGATGGCGCCGACAGGCGCTGTGGAAGAGGTTGACTGAAGCAAGCCTGGTGTGGCAGCTGGGACTTGTCCTTCCGTAACCTCTCGGGCTGTCTGGTCAAGTGGTCACTGCAGCTTCATCTCCGCAGCTCCCTTTCCCTCGCCTGATCATGGTCGTTCGCGAGAATGTGTGGGCTGAAAAACCCCTCCGCCCCCCTTGCCATAAACTACGAACAAGGCGATTCTGCCGAATGCGCAACGATTCCTTGAGATCATTGAAATGTTCCGGGGCGCGTGGTACAGCTTTGGGGATGGCTTTTGGCTTTTCAAACTATGCGTTTGGTTCCAACGACTTTTTTCGTGTTGACTCACACTCTTTTGGTGTGAGCTGACCCTAGGCTTCCGAATCCACGGTCAGCACGCGGGGTTTCGGGGAGGCACCAACTCGGTTCATAAGGGGACAAGACAAGAGTGGTTGTGGGAACAGTAGGCATCCAAACCCTCTACTTGGACTTCTCCAAAAACGGTCGATTCCTCAGCTTTTCGTGCAAAAGTGCCTCGTTCACCGGACTTTTGTGAAGTTTTCACCGAAGATGACGCTGATCTCAACGTTTCCGTGAATCCCCAAGGTGTGTGTGGCGCGGTGTGTCCCTGCACTGCTTTGTTGTGCCTTCTCTTGTGTTGTGTTGTGCTGTGCTGTGCTGTGTTGTACTGGTCCGTGCTGGACTGACCTGTACTTGTACTGTTTGCTGTCTGTTCTGTGCTGCGAGGATGGTTCAAACTGTTGTTGGGATGATGGCCCGTTCAACATCGTGTTTGGGTATCAACTTGAGACCCAACAACCAAAGCTTGGTGGTGGATCGGAGGAAACGTGGCTGGTCAGCCTGGGCACCTGAGAAACCCCAAGGAAGGACATTGACACCCAGGCCGTTGAACAGTCCTCACACACCACGACAATGCATCCGAGGCGTTGTGCCCGAGAACGAAAGATCCATTCCGATGGAGTCGACAAACAAAAACTGCATCGGTTTCCTCCAACTCGCCCATCAGCACCTCTCTCGAGGCCATGCGTGCGTGCATGCATCAAAGACAGAGCAGTTTAAGGGGTTTGATGACGGAGATGGCTGCGAGCGTCTTGCAAGACGTCCGCGCCCACTTGAGCATTGGAAGACGGCTGCTTTTTGCGAGGTAAACTGCAGGGTGCGGTGAACCAAGCGCGACGTGAGGTTTGAGACCACCATAGGGATGGACAACAACAACAACAACAATAACAGCGATTTCAGGAAGAAAGAAGAATCAGAAAGCCTACAGGGGGCTGTTTTGCCGCTTCTCCAAGCGCTCTTTGCCCCTACATGATCGTGGTGCAGGCATGTGTGCCACGACCCAGCGATGAGCGGAGCGTCCCTTGCACTCTGGTTGCCGTCAGCGCTGGTGCAGTGCGTCACAGCACACTGCCATTCCAAGCAAAGTCTCGACTGACCGTTGAGCCACCATTTCTGCGAGGCTGGACATGTTGGCACCGCCGCCGCCGCTGTCGTTGCCAGAGTCAAACCACAATAGATAGAAGAGCCCATTGGTCAAGATCACAGGCATGAAAAAAAAAAAAAAAAAAGGTGAAGGGAGAAGGCGGCCAACCCGTCATCACGTACGAGGCTGCAGCTTCACGCTTCATCTGCTCCAAGTGCGCCTCCCGGGCCGCTTTTTGCTCATCCGTGGCTACACGAAAGCAAATATGAAAAAAAACATGAGTCAAAGCACGCAATGCTCGGCTGGTCGGTGTACTTGCCACACGCACACACAAGTGCACCCAAGCGCGAAGCTCCAGACACGCAACATTGTCGAACGTACGTGGATGCCAGCTGGAACCTGAGGATATGGGGATGTGGTCCTTGAGAAGGTCAGGGGGTGGGCCTACACGTAGCCAATCATCGCCCAAAGCATCCGTGAGCACTCAGTCCCCTGGCCAAATAAATTATGATTAATTGAAGAAGAAAAACAACACCCTCGCACACAAACTTCACAATCACAGAGCGCGCATCAAGCCAACCGGGTGGAGGTGGTGGGGGTGCACCCGCGGCAGTTGGCTTGATGGCACTGGGCGTGGCCATGATTGGGCTCGGCTCGGTGGAGGCGGGTGTGTTTTGTGGCGGTGCAGGTGGCCGAAGGCTGGCGCCGGGCGCATCCTGCGGAGGCGGCGGAATAGACAAGATGGCATGCGCTGGTTTGGCTGGTGGTGTCGGTGGCTTCAGCGGCGAGTAGTTGCCCGAGCTACCCGGCACCAATGAAGGCGGAGGGGGTGGCAAAGAAGCGCTGCTCTCCTGTTCCTCGTCCCCTTCAAAATCGTCAAAGTCATCTTCCTCGTCGTCCGTCGTCACTTCATCGCCATCCAGCTCGTGGGTATCGTGGCGTCTCAAAGGTGACGCCTGAATACCTCCACCCAACGCTGGCGCTGGCGGTGGCGGTGGTGGCGGCGGTGGTGCCGTTCCCGTCATTGCGGGGGCTGGCATGGCAGTTGATGCGGAAGAGGGAGGAGCAATGGCCCCTTTATTTGCCTGAGCTCCGTTTAAGACGACCATGGAAGGCCGCACCGGCTTGGCGTAGACTCCACTGGGTGTGCGGGACACGGTAGACATGTTGTCCTCGGCTAGACCGGCTGAAGGTTGCCCATTCCTGTTCTGCACGGCCGTTTGCAGCGCATGCAGGGTGGGATGAAAGGGCAGCAAGTCTGGATTGGCCGCCAGTCGCAGCACATCCTCACTCTGCTGCCTATCCCATGGGATTTGATCAGAAGAGGGCCGTGAGGCATTGTTGGTGATTCAGATCAATGGAGAGACAGGCCCTGACCCTGACATTGATGTTTGGTACAACAAGTTTGCGCGTTGCAAGGGAAACGAGTTAGGAGAGCAGGACCAGTTGTCAACAACACCAGAGCATGCCGTACGCAATCAAGGGCAGAGAAAGTTGGGCCTCGAGACAGGAGTCACCGAGGACGGCAAAGTCTTCGGCCAGAGAGCAAAGGAAGCGACGCTCTCCCGTGATAAGACGGCGGGCCATCTCCATCTGGTGGTCTTCGTACTCGGCACAGCTGCGAGCAAATTCAAACACGGCCGCATTGGCTGGAGCCACCTTGTCTGGCTTGGCCGAGGCGCGTTTGCAGGCCTTGACCATTCGCGACGAATCCTTGTGCACCTTGCGTCGATCCTCGTCGGCTTCTACGCTCAATGCCGTGGTGCATCTCAACGATGAGTGCCACATCGGCTTACTTGCGTGATTTCGGCAATACCAACAGTGACAAGCGCCTGCACCTTGCCCTGCCCTGACTTCGACCTGCCGTCTGAGATATTGGATGACGTACGGCGGGTGAGTTGGCGTTCGGCGTCCTGGGCGCGCTTGGGCCAGACTGTGGCGTGTTCGTAGAAAAAGGGTAACACTTGCTGCATGAGCACCATGCTGACTGTATGCATGTTGGCATTGTACGCTTGAAGCTGGGCCACCAAGCGAATACAGCTCGCGCTCAGCGTCTCAATGTCTCCTGAGGCATCAGATTCACGATGGGAGAGAGGCGAGGGTGACCGTGAGGAGAGCCAATCAAGGTGTGGCGATACGCTCTGAGTCACGCGAGCTGGGACTGGGGTGCTGACCATCGGCCTCGATATGTGGGCCCAGCAGGGCATGCGTAGCTTCGAAGAAGTCGGCGCCAACCTGACAAGCTTGCCTGAGGGCGCATGAGGCATGGTCAAACACCCGAGAGTAAGGGCAAGAGGACTGTGGCAGATGAGAAAGTTGGTGCGTTGCGACACGTACGCCAGGTGTGACTGATACTTTTGGCCCAGGTGCATGAGCTTGTCCATCTTGCGAGCCGTCACCTGGATAGGAAGGAATGCCAGCTGGCTGTGAGACGGCGAAACGAGGCGGGGCGATGCTGTTGTCTGCGATCATCTTTCAGTCAGACCTTGATGCGCTCAACGCTGGCAGCAGAGAGGCCATGATAGTCTCGAGCACGCTGCGTGGCGGCCTCGGCCTCGAGCAGTACCTCAAAGGCCCGCGTCGCCATGGTGCTGAAGTCCGGGAACCAAAACCAGGAAAAGAGGAGTTGCCACCCAGACAGAGAAGCGCGAACAAGGTCTGAGGGATCTGGCAAAAGGCAAGGGGTTGGCTGGCAAGACCAGCGCGGTTCTTTGAAAACGAAGGTCACTGGCATAGATGAGCGCGCACCCGACCAATCGACGGCAGTGGTTGCTCAGAGCGAATGACGCGCAACGTCTCGCAGCCGCAAGCCAAGACGACCAAGCATGCATGCACTTCAAAAGTTCTTGTATGCGAATACAGTGAGCATATTACACTCTCAACACCTAATGTCAGATGTTTTATCTTCCTTTCTCTTTCTCTTTTGTCTCTCCCTCTCTCTCTCTCTTTCTCTTTTGTCTCTCTCCCTCTCTCAAACTCTCTCAAACTCTCTCGCTCTCTCTCTCTCTCGCTCGAACTCTCTCGCTCGAACTCTCTCTCTCAAACTCTCTCTCTCAAACTCTCTCTCTCAAACTCTCTCTTCTCAAACTCTCTCTCAAACTCTCTCAAACTCTTTCTTCTCTCTCTTCTACACACACACACTCCTCTCTCTCTCTCTCAGTGACAGTGACTGGAGCTGCAAGAGGACCAAAAACGGCAGCGCCATGGATGAGTCTGAGAAGCTGAGCTTGTTTTGCGGTGCGACGGGAGCCAGTCCCGCCGAGGCCACTGCATATCTACAACGCGCTTCGGGCGACGCACAGGTAGGATGCGGGGCTGGCGGCTGTGGGGGAAACCCACGTCACGTTGTGCCAAGAACGGCTCCCGCATCGCTCACGGTGACGGTGCCGCGCTCGGCGCGCGCCTGAACAACCCCCACCTCGTTTAGACAGCCATCATCTTGTATCTGGCCGAACACGATGAAACAGGCATGGAGAATGAGGCACCTGACCATCACACCAGCGGCCCGGTTGCCGCGACGGCCTCGGCCCAGCCAACCGCGCCCGTCACAGCCGCCGCGCAACCCCAGCAACCGCGTCGGTGCGTATGCGCACAACCCTTGCGAGCGTCGCCCGCGCCCATGCAATGCGAGCAATGGGCACCCATGAGCGTTGCAGTGTCTGGAGCTCGACCAGCGTCCTCGAGTGCGAATGCAGCCGTGTGTGGTCTGGCTTGATCAACACACTGACACTGCCCCTGCCGTTGCCCATACCTAGAACCGGTATTGCCACGTTCTCGAGCATGGCCTCGGATGAGGCCAAACCCGATGCAGGACAGACCTTTTTCAGTGGGGGAGATCGCAGGTGCAGCAGCTGGCGTCTCTCTGGCCAGGCACTCACACCCAATCTCCCGCGCGTGTACTGACCGCCCCTTTGCCGTCGACGCCGCTGTTTTGGTGGTCCATTTTGCAGTGGCATTGCAGTGCAGGGCCCACCCAAGGATGCCAACGAAGCGCGCAACGCATTTCTGGAGCGAGCCAAAGAGTAGGTCCGCTGCTCACACGAGGCACGGCCGCAAGCTGTCTTTTGCTCACGCGCGCCGCCGGCCCCAATCGAGCAGGGTCGGACAGTCGATGGACGAGTATCGACAGCAAGAAGCTGAGGCCGCTCGCCAGCGTTCGGCCTTTGCTGGTCAAGGTACACGTCGCAGCGCTTTTTGCTACGCAATCGGGCCGTGTGCCTGCTCACACTCACTCGCGGTACTCGCTCGGAAATCGGGCTGTTTTTTATCAATGCAGGCTTTCGCTTGGGCGAGACCGACACCGTGCCGTCCGAAACGGTAGGCGTGCCTCTGGCGGCCAGGGCCCAGCCACCCGAGAAGAAGCTGGTCAAGATCACATTCTGGCGGGGTGGCTTTTCCGTGGATGACGGTGAAAACACGCCCACACTTCGCAACATGACCGACCCTGCCAATCAACAGTTCCTCAATGAAGTATCTTCTGGGTTCGTAGCGCCACCGGCATTTGACCCCGGTGCCTGCAGTGTGTTTATCGTGCCATTCATTTCTTGGGCCATTTTTCTCAAGCCTGACCTCGGACGAGAGCCTTTAGCCCCAAGACTCACTGCTCCTGTGCTCGAAACGCAATCAAATTAGTTTTGTCCCCCAAGAACTGCGCAGTTTGGGGAACAATGTTCATGTTGAGCTTGAGGATCGGCACGATGAACCCTTTGAGGCACCCAAGCGACAGGTGCGCTCTTTTGCGGGAGCTGGGCATCGTTTGGGTGCCCCCACCCCGGCCATGGGTGGGGCCCAAGACTCAACCACATCGACCCCAGCTGCGTCTTCGACGGCCGCTGCCACCTCGGCCCCAAGCATGCGACCCGTGGATGAGAGCAAGCCCACCACCAAAGTGCAGATTCGCCTCGCTGATAATACGCGTCTGGTCGGTCATTTCAACGAAGACGCCACCATCGGGGATTTGCGGGCCTTTGTCGACCAGTACGTTTGGTTCCTCCCACGATGGGCCGACTGTAAAGTACATAACCTTGATGCGCGACTCACCTGATACTCTCTTCTATGTACGCACCCTCCATTGGCATAGCTCTCGACCCGGCGGTGCTCCTTATGTCCTGATGACGCGTGTGCCTCGCCGAGATCTCACTGACCATAATGAGACCCTGAAGCAAGCCCAGCTCCTGAACGCCGCCGTGTTTCAACGACCTCTGTAAACAAACCCGGAAGCCACCAGTTTATCGCCAAGCATCTCCATCCTCGTGGTATCTCTGAAATCCAACGGATCCGGTGTTGCTCGGCGCACTTTGGTGGTCGACAGTACGCGCTTTCTGTTAGGGCGTGGACACAAAAAATTTCAGAACAACTGTGGAAAAAAAAAGAAAAAAAGTCTTGAAAAATTCTCAATTTATTTGATGGAAAATTTTCGAAAATTCACTGCAGCCAAATGGCCTTCAAACAATACTCCGGCACACAGAGCAGGGGGGGCACGGTAACGTACCGCGCCCACGACCCATTGCACTTCTGCAAGTCTCGGCATAACGACTGGGCTAACGAAACTTTTGATTCATCATTCACGTTGAGCAGAAAACAAAGGTAAACAAAAGCAAAAGCAAAAAGCAAAAAGCAAGGTCACGCATTCACGCCACACCAGCTGGTACACTCCCGCTACGTCACACATTTGAACACGCAATGAATGCAGGCCTGCAGACAGCTCACACCACTGGTCCCGGCGCTGTCAGATGAAACAGGACAATTTATGTCCTGATCATGCCAAGCACTCTTCGCGGGGGCATAAAGCCCAATCTAATCTTCGAGAGCAAAGTCGTCCAGTCCGAGCCAGCGAGAGGGAATGACGTCGACCAACGAGACGCCTGCGGCCAAGCCGGCCCCCAGGTTGAGATTGGTCGAAGGGTGAGTGCACTGGTGGATGAGCTCGAGCGGCGACTTGATGATGGATTGGCGGCTCCCGTGCGTTGTGATGAGCTGCAAAGTCGCACCATCCTGTAAGAACACAGTGGCCAGGGCATGCTTGAGCTGCGTATAGGTGGTCGTCACGCGTGCCGGTGACACTTTGACCCACGGCGCATTGGCGGCGCTCTCGGCCAGCTGTTCCAGTGCCGATGCCGACAGCACGTCGCAGGCCGCTGACAAATTCAATGCCTGACAGAGCGCTCGACAAAAGGCGGCAAGCGCATGAAGGGCGCTGAGCACAGCCGCGGCGTCGCGTGTCAGCGCCGCCAACACGTCGTCGTCAGCTGGCAGCGGCAGCCCAGCAATGGTTTCATGCCGAACCAAGAACAACTCCTTGAGCGCTAGCACGCGCAGTTGCCGGACGGTTTGGAGGCGCACGCGCACGCAGGACAAACACATGACTTGAAGTTGTGCGCCAGCGCGTGAGCCGTGCGAAGCCTCCCCACCCGACGAGCTGCTGAGGTACCCCTGGGGCAGACGAGTTACCGAATGTGTGCACGGTTGGATTTCGGCCAGTCGCAGGTGCTGAGCTTGCTGCATGCGACGATTCAGCTCTGTAACTGCGAGGTGCTGTGACTGTAGTACTCGCGAATGATCCAGGTCTGGTTCGAGTGAGGTCTCCTGGGCCGTTGCGCGGCACGTCGCCGGCGGATCTGGCTGCGGGGAAACCGATGCGTCCGGCGCCGTCACGGTGGTCGATGCCCGTTCCACTGGTCCTGTGTGTGGCTCTGGCGGTGGAGATGGCATGGGTGGGGGTTGCAGGAGGGGCACATGTTCTGGCGCCTGACCCAAGGCATCGATGTGTGCTTGTAAGCGGCGGAGCCAGGCCAGATGCGTTCGATCCAACTCGGTGCGCGCGCCAAGTAGCTGTTGCTGGGCCCTGGCCTGCTTTTGTGCCAAGTTGGCGCAATGCCGGCGCACAAGATGCTCCCGATTGCTGGCAAGGGTGAGGGCCTTGATGAGCGCCACCTGAGCCTTGCGGCGCTGCTGTAGCTGTTGAACAAGTCGTCGACGGGCCGCGTGGCGCATCTGAAGCGTGTGTAGTAGTCGTAGACGCGTGGTTTGTTCCCCATCCAAAGTTGCCAACTGGTCGCGTGCGTGCTGCGCGGCGCTGCGAGCTGCATGCAAGCGAGCCACCTTGCTGCCGAGGGGCTCGTGGAGCTGGGCCATAATTTGTTGCACGGGCGCCTGTGCCCGGGCGACGAGGGAGGCGTGCAGGGGTGGGGCGTCGACATCTTCAAGGGGGCCATGCTGTGCATGTGGATCACCTGAAGCTGGGCCCACGGGCTCTTCGGCCAACAGGGCATGGATGTGGTCATGCAGGAGGCCTGGCAGGGCGGATGCGGAGCGCGTGACCTCGCCCCCACTGAGACAGGCAGCGCAAAAGGCGCGGTGCATCACCCGGTGACACCCCGGGCATAGTGGGGCTGGGCGTGCTATTGCCGCGTTTGATCGCTCTGGGCTCACGGCACTCGTCGAATTGATAGCATCGGGTTCCTGGGGGCTGACAGAGGTCGACGCCATTGTGACGCGGCTCATGGGCTCGATAAGATCAATCCAACAATAGCAAGCCGAGTCCGCAACCCAAATGGAGGACAATCGTCGCAGCTCTTGAATGCAGTCACGCCTGACTGCTCTTGCAGTCCAGTGCGACCATTCCCTGCCTCTCCGTATCCGTCCGGCTCCAACGGGCTGCGCGCGCGCTCTGTGTGTGTGTGTGTGTCTCTCTCTCTCTCGCAAAAAAAAATAAATTCAAGCGGCGCTGGGTTTGAGGCGACACGAGTGAGGGGATGTTCAGAGTGACGCCAGGCCCTAGTTTCCGTAGCAGTATATCGACTTTTAAACGATCAGTATAATGTTAGAGACTAAAAGTACTCATGTATAATGTAGAAAGATGCCACGTTATCGCATCTACACCTTATCTTCTCATAGCAAGCATTTGCTATATTTGGACGACACAGCGTTTGTGTGTGTGTGTGTGTGTGTGTGTGTGTGTGTGTGTGTGTGTCCGCTCGTGCGCAGTTTTGAATTGAGAGAGAGAGAGAGAGAGAGAGTGTGTGTGTGTGTGAGTGAGAGAGAGAGCGCGGCGGTTCGGGATCGCGGCAGTGGGGGTGGTGCTCGGATGACAGTTGTTGATCTTTTGGTGCAGGTGTCTGCCTGGGCGCAGTCGAGCAAGCTCGGTGCATGTTCATGGAGGGAGAATTTGAGAGGAAGGTGGGAGAGGTTTGAGAGAGAGAGAGGAGAGAGGCTGAGAGTGTTTAGGGTATTGGGTGACTGGCGTGGCGTTGCTCCGCCCACAACATCGGCGTGCGAATCGAGGCTGGCTGAGACGCGCGACGGCGCAAACGGTTGTTCTGGACGCCGTGACGGCGAGCCATGGCCACGTCAGGGCTAGATTGGGGCAGTTATGCCCATCACCAGGTATGCCCTAGGATCACGTAACAGCGGGCTTGATGGTTTCAGCGACTTGGTCTTGGCGCGCCTCAATCTTCTGACGATGCCGCTCTGTTCCTCACTCGGGCTCGGTTCAAGGGCCCACTCGAACGAGACGGGGCACTGGCTGGACTTCTGGCCCGCCACGACGTCGAATCTGCCGACGTCTTGGACGTCAATAACGAAGCTTCTGTTCTTTCGCTTGGCGCTGCCACGGCTCTGGTGTATCAGGGCGTGCTTCTTCTCACCGATTCCCAGGGCCAGCATCTGGTCTGGCGGCCCGTCCCGCTTGAAGGCGTCGCCGTGGCCAAGGTATGGTGAGGGGTGTCAACTTGCTTTACACAGCTGGTGCTTAGGTCCCACAGACCCCTTCCCGCGCTTGCCTCAGCCCTGCCGTGTCCGCAGCACTGGCTCATGGTCTCAATGCCCCTTCCCCTTTGCCAACGGCTGTCATTTCTACTCGACAGGAGTCGCCCGTTGAGCTGGCCTTTGGTGACTTCACGCTTCTGCTCATGAGCACAGCAGGCAAGCTTTTACACAAGCAACTTCAGCTCGCGATCCGCCAGTGTCAGCAAAAGCACGCCCGCGATCCCTCCCCGTCCCCGCTCCCCGTGGACATTCCTCGCTTTCCGGCCATGCCCCAGCCACTGCGTGCCCTTCGTGGCCCACACCCAAATTTCTTCAGTAAGGGATATCTGGTCAACCGTCAGCGCTGGGCAGTTTTGTCTCGGGCAATCTCATGGTGGGCCTGCGCGATGCGACTGGCTAGCCCAACGACGCTCGGTCCTCGAGCTCTCTCTGGAACGCCAGGAGGCTGAAGCCTTGCTGTCTTCTGCTCGCCAAGAGCTGGCCCACGAAGCTCAGTTTGGGGTCATGTCTTCATTCGAAGACTCAACTGATCTGCGCTGCTTTAGTCCCTTTCGTCGCAACTCGCCCGTGCTCTTAGCCGAGGACCTCCTCTCCTCCCACGGCTCCAGCCATTCGCTGCTATCTCGCCAGCAGTCCATTCCAGCTCTAGCTGGTGGGATGCCTGTGGGCTCGCCATTGCCTGAGCTGGAAGCTGGCATTGCTAGTCCTGGACCCGAGGCACCGCTTGATCGGGCTCAACCTCGTCTTCAGGATCTCTATGACAACCAAGAGGGCGCGCTAGCAGGTGACACGGCAGACCAAGAGGCAGAAGAGGAGGCCATTTACGACTTTGCCATCCGCAGCGGGCCAGCCTCACGCCGTGTGAGTGCCTTTGGTAAGAACCCAGCTAAGCCAGACTCAGGCACGGTGCCCATTGTCCAAATTGCGTTGCATGGTCCCCGAGTGTGAATAACACAGGGGCCTGTTGCCGCTCGGCGTTGCCTGATTTCACTTGGTACAACGGAAAAATACTAGACTACGCCTCGATGGCGGCGGCACACTTGAAAGAATTTGGCATTGAAGACGAGGAAGATGAAGTCGATTTGAGTGACCCGGAAAATGCCGACAGCTCCAACGCCAATGAAACGTGGAATGCGCCGGCCATATCGAAACCCGATCTCGACTCGCAAACATCGAGTGCAGCCGCCTCTCCTAAGAGCAGCCCCAAGAGCAGCCCCAAGAGCAGCCCAAAGGCGCGTCGCCGAGCGCACAAAGCCAAGAATCGCAAGAAGAGCCTGGATGCCAGTTCACAACTGTTTAAGCTCGCCTTTTCAGCCTCAGACTCAAGCGGCTTGCGTCGAGAGCTACAACGGGCCACGAAGCGTCGGCCCAAACAGCAACCTGGTATGCCCCACCCCTCTTCTTGTGTCAGCGAAACTGCCTTGAAGCTTCTCGTACAACTGGCCAAATCATTCATCTCAAGCTCCTATATCTTGCTTCTTTACGCCATGTCGGCGTACGCATGGCGGTTTGTAGGGGCCCAGAATGACCGCATGCTGCTGCGCGTCCGCGAATTTGGCATTGAATTCGTCGCTGGCACACACGCTCAAATGTTGACCTATTTAACTTCGACCCATGTTCGTGGCATTCTTCTTGATGTATGTTTATCGCCCTTCCTGTCCCGTATCACAAAGCACACTGCACACAACCAATCTACTGCCAATACTGCCCGGGCATGCATCAATGTGCACCATATTCCGAGCAATGCTGGTCACTTTATTTCTTTGCGCTGGGGACCTCAATGACGCTGATCGCACCATTGCTTTTCCAGGCCAAGCAACCTCGCGGTTCAACGCTGACCAGCCCACGCAAGCGGAAGACTCCTTGGGCCAGCACGCAGGAAACCTTGACCGATGCTTCCGACCAAGGGTTTTCCCGCATATTTCTGCTTGTGTTTCGGTGAGTCGTTGCGGTCATAAAGGACAACTGCGATGCCTGCGGATTATAGTCTCTGGGCCGCGTCTTTCATCTCGCTGACCTGCTTACGGCCGCGCAGACTTTTTATGACGCCAGTGGAGTTGCTGGCGGCGTTACATCAGCGCTTTCGCACACCCATGCAAGAGGAGATGGAGGTTGTCGAGGCAAAAGATCCCCTCAGCTCCAACCAGGTCGGCTTGTGCTTGATGAGTCATTATTTCATGGTGTTGCGCTTCTCTCGCTCTAGAGCTCGCACTGTGCAACTCTACACCCCCTCACAGCTGCAATTCCAATACAGGAACAGCTAGACACGCACGGCAGCCGGATCAAAGTCAGATTTTGCGCGCTCAGGTGCCAACCTGTTGCCCCGCTGGCTCACAAACGTTGACTTGCCTCTCCGCTTGTCCGCTTTAGACACTTGGGGTGCTATACGGCTGGGTGACTCATCACTGGCACGATTTCGATTCGAACAGCGAATTGAGAACCGATCTCGAGGTGTGCGCGCAGTCTGGGGTGGTACAGAAGCGCATAGAACAGCTTCTGAGGCTCACTCGAGCCCTTGGGTTCTTCTTCTTGCTTCAGGCCATGTTGGATTATGTCGAGCTGTCTGGGTTTAGTGACTTTGTCAGGAGGCTACGCTCTCAAATCCCAGATCTCAAGGTATGAAACGCTTGCCCATCAGCACTTGTCTGGTTTCCCTCGACAACGCTCGGCCTTTTCAAACTCATTGACTGTGATTTATTTCGACTTTGCATGACACAGGCAACGCCTTTTGAATCGCTGCCCAAAATGACGCCAAGCCCGGAACTGTTTGCCATTGTGGACGGACTGTCCGGCATCGCGCTCGCCGAGCAGCTTGCACTCCTCCATACCTCTTGTCTTGGCCGCGTCCGTTCCGTTGAGTTTGTCATGAACATGCGACGACACGACGACGCGTTCACTCCTCAGCTCGACGATTATATCAATTTGTTCAATGATGAAGTACGCGCATTGGTCTGCTACGCGGTGCCAAAATCGGTCGGGGATCTCATTCGGGGCAAACCTGGTTTGGGCAGGCAGCATGGGTCCAAGCCTACGTGAGCACGGCTGCAGATCCGGATTTGCAGGTTGGAGAACGCGCCCTTGTCGCTGGCAGTGAACTACGGCTGTTCTGTGTTTTCCTGTGCCAAACCCCGATGCCTTTTTTTTTTCGATTCATTTAACATGCTCGTGAATCCCTAGACCGAGCGCCTATCAAAGATTGTGCAAGCGACGCTACACTCGGACAATCTGAACAACTTTGCCTCTGTTTTTGGTTTGATGGACGCTTTGGCCAAGCCCGGTTTGGCCTCTCTCCAGGCTGCATGGAAGACTCTGCCCAAAAAGGTGCTGAAGGGCATTGCAAAGGTAATTGTTGTGTATAACGCCATCATTGGCCCATATCAAACCCGAGACGCACGCACGCTCTCACTACTACGTTTGGGTGCCCTCTGTTTGGAAAGCTGGAGAATGGGCTATTGGATCCATCAAAGAACATGCACAATTATCGTGCACGTTTAGCAGCATGCCGAGGCCCGTGCGTGGTTTTGGTGCCCGTGTTGCTCAAAGATCTGCTTTTCTATGACCAGGCCAACATCGAGGCACACAAGAACGAATCTCAAGTGGACTTTACAATGTATCGCGAGCTCGATCAATTACTTCAGGTCTGGCCCGTATCGATGGCCGCCCTCTTGCAACCACTGGCTTTCTCGGGTTGGCATCCTTCGGACTTGGAACTCACGATCCGGCGAGTGTCCTTAGACGGTGCGCAGCGTAAGCGAGACGCGCTGGGGCTTTCAGGCCTTGCCCAGGTTTCAAGAGCAATTCTTGGGAGAGGGTCATTATGGCTTTGATTCAGCAGCCACCAACGCGCCGGGCCATGGGTGCGAACAACTTGATGAATTTTGAGAGCGTTGCTGTGATGCTACGCTTTAGCCCTTAGGCGGAGGGAGTATAGCTAATGTCCGTGTCGATACGCACATAGCCGTCACCAAAGACAATCTGATGTGCACATGGGATGGTTGTCCCGAAACGCGGCGAGTGAGGGTTTGTGTGCATAGTATTGGTGGTTGTGGTTCCCTTGTGCAGCCATGTCTTTGAGAAGGAGTATGTACACTATATCAAGGCGACAGGCTTCTCTTGGTCGTTCAACGCGACCAATTGAGTTCCTCGCAATGCGCCCAGAACAATCAAGACGAGAACATTACAAATTCACGCATACATACCTCAGGGCCCACAAAGGTAAGACCATTGACTGTGGGAATGGGAAAGCCTTGCGTGATGTGCTTGTTCAGCTGGGGCACGATGACTTCCTGTCAAGGAGACGGGGTTTGTAAGGCCTGGGGCTGCGCATATCACAAGAGTGGAAAAGAGGAAAAAAGCGTCGCGATAGCTTGACAGGACCCACCTGGCAGAAGACGTTCATGACATCTTGGAGAAGGGAGGGGTCAATGTTGCCCACGGCGCTGTCAACGACAGCAAGGTCAACCTTGACAAAGCTGATGTTCGCGCCAATGTACTCCGTGTCCTGGTTGGTGTAGAGGTGGACGGTGCCGTCACCGAAAATGCGGGCTTGAAGCGCGAAAGCAAACTTGTCGGTGCCATTGGTTCCCGCCGGGGGATTGATGTCTACGGTAAGTTTGGGTGATCATTGGGTGAGTGGGCGACTGTATTCTTGCTCTTGCAAGACGTTTTGTCTGGAAGAATCGGGTTCGGCCCGTACATGTGGAGATGTTAAAGGTAAGGACAAGATCCAGGCCGGTGGAGGCGTTGATTTGGATGGCAAGGGGGTCTTCGATGGCGGCCAGGTGCATGTCCATCGTGCAGTTGGCGCAAACGTTGAGGAGGCCCGGGACGAGCTGACCCAAGCTGGCAGTGGTCAGTTGAACGGGAAATCCAGAAGGCACATCGTTGTTGGTGATGACCCACTGCAAATATCCGGCCTGCTGATAGGCCCAGCCAGCCTGGGGAGGCGTACGCGGGAAAGGGGAAGCAAGCGTGTAGAGCATGAGGGCGGGAAATAGGGTCAAGCAAACGACAGAGAGAGGATGGCGTAGGCCGCGTGCTTGACGAAAAACAGACAAACGAACAAAAAACGCACCGAGCGAGCCAGGTACTCATCGATGAACAAGTAGAACATGCGGGTCACGTTTGAGGGGTAGGGAACAGGAGCGGCGTTGAAAGGGGGCAGGGTGGTATTATGGGATTTGGTAACAAAGGCACCGCGATGGGAGGTAAGAAGATAGGTCGAGGTGGTGTTGGGGGCCTGGATGAGCTCAAAGTTGATTTCGGCATAATCATCCAAATCCACCGTGGTGGGCAAAGTGGACAAAAGTTTGTTACCCGTCTCAACCAGCTCCTTTTGAATCTCGCTGCAAAGCTCCTTGTTGAGTGCATCCTTGACCGTGTCTGCCAAGTCGGGCCAGAAAAAGAGCCAATGAGCAGGTGTGACTCGTAATGAGCCTGGAAGGTGTGGCAGCGAGAAGTTGGAAGGTGGAGGAGGATGAATAAGGAGTGCATCGGCGTACCACCGATGAGGCCGGTGAAGAGGTTGTAGAGCCAGGAAGCACCGCCGTGGAACTTGAGGTCAATCTTGTGCACGCCACCCGAGCAGCTGGCAAAAAAAACCAAAAACCAAACAAAAAAAAGGGCCAAAGTGAGGCCGCAGTTTGGCAAGGAAGGGTCAGGATACGCATGCATTCAGAAACCAGCGCGTTTGTGTGTGTGTGTGTGTGTGTGTGTGTGTGTGTGTGTGTGTGTGTGTGTGTGTGTGTGTGTGTGTGTGTGTGTGTGTGTGTGTGTGTGTGTGTGTGTGTGGAGCGGGTCAAGTGGGACATCAACGCCAACCTGGGGATGCTGATGGTGGGCTCATGACTGCTGCTCATGCCAACGTCCAGGACAAGGTTGATGCTAATGTCTTCGGCCGAAATATCAACAGAGCCCGAGTCGGAGACGTGGGGCCACGAATGCTCTCGGTAGTGCCTGGTAGTTGCGCAGGCAAGAACGGGAGCAACATGAGCCATTTCTCACGAGGGTGCCACCATAGCCTTTGCCCGACATGCGAGGGAAGAGTCGACAGACCAGTGGGCGGTTAGGCCAATGGTGGCCGAGTTCAGGTCAAGGTGAATGCCGTCCGTCTGGGAGTCGATGGCTGAGGTACCAAGGTTGACGGTGCTAGCCTTGATGTTGGAAATGTCGTAATCAATCTGTATGTGTGTGTGTGTGTGTGTGTGTGTGTGTGTGTGTGTGCGTGCAATGCGAAAGCAAGGCGACAACGAGGATAGGGATGAGCACTGAGGTGCTGCTGGTTTTGGGCCAGGCTTTGGGAAAGGAGGGCATGGCGTGACGTACGTGTCCAACAGGGGATTTAGCACTGCCAGAGATGTCAGGGATGGTCAGGGACTGCAGCTCCTGAGCGAGAATGGGCATCTCAACCTACACGCAAGGTACCGTGGCGTGGCCAGGAAAAGGTACATGGCGGGCAGAACAGATGCAAGTGAGGCTGCCAAGGCTCACGTGGTCCACTTTGAACAAGCCCAAATGGCAAGAGCGCTGGTTGGGCGCTGGTTGGGGCTGCCATTCGTGGCTGGCTGGCTCGCTTGCGACACACTAACCTCGCGGGCATAGTCCATGCCCTTGTTGGTCAAGCAAACTCGAAAACCCGGGTTGCCATCCGTGGCCATGACCATGGTGGTCGTCAGAGACAACACGAACGTGAGCCCCAACAGGGTCAGCATGTTTGAACCGGTCATCACGAATGGTCTGCCGCTGCCGTTTCCTTGAGAAAAAAAATGAGAGAGAGTTTGAGAGAGTTTGAGAGAGTTTGAGAGAGTTTGAGAGAGTTTGAGAGAGTTTGAGAGAGTTTGAGAGAGAGGAAAAGAGTTAAGAAAGGTGCTGTCAAAACAAAAATAAAAACGTGTGTGTGATGGAGCCACGTAGTGTGTGTGAGATATGAGGTTGAAAGTCTTATGTATATCGTTCGTCGGGTGTGGGATAAGTAGCCTGTTGGTGTGGGAGGTTTGCAAAACTTGGAGGCTTTGGTGTGACGTTGTCGTGTATACAGTCGCAAGCTTGGGTCTGCCTTTGGAATGTACACCTGTGTGTGGGACCAATCGTGCTTTCCACTCCCTCAAAAACCACACAAAATTACACTTTAATGTATTAAAGTGTAAAATATAATACACATACAAAATAGATGGGACATGATGAATCGACATCAGAAGCTTTCTCCTGTGTCAGTCGAAGTATAATACATAATTACCTGGTGGTACATAGTCTTACATGTGCAAGAGAGAGAGAGAGAGAGAGAGAGAGAGAGAGAGAGAGAGAGAGAGAGAGAGAGAGAGAGAGAGAGAGATGAATTGGTTTGGTCGGTTTGAGAAAGAGAGAAATAAAGAGAGAGAGAGAGAGAGAGAGAGAGAGAGTAAAATTTAATGAGAAAGTCCCACACACACACTGACACTGACACTTGACAACATTGAGATTTGAGGTCAGGACGGCAGCCCGGCGCGGGATGATGATGTGGCGCTGGGGGTGAGGTGTCTGGGGGGAGGGGGGGGTGTGGTGGTCTGGTCAGTTGTTGGGTTTGGTTGTTGGTTCACATTTGGAATTTTTGGGCCTTGTTTCGTAGGGTTGTTGGACATTTCCTTGATCATGGCGCGCCGTCGATATCGTGTCGAGGCCGTGGGGCTGGATGAAGCGGGCTTGGATGACGATGCCGCCGTGCGCGAGGGTCTGTTGGCCAATGAGGAGAGTTCAGCGGCCTACTCAGTGAGCCATGGTGCTGTCAGTGCCCGCTCAGCTTCTGCCGGTGCGCCGGGCATACCCGGCGATTATCCAGTTCACGAGCTCGTTTGGCACAACCGAGCCGCTCAGCTTCAGGAGCGCCTGGCCTCTGCCACGGTAACGTCGTTGCCCGCGCCGCATTTGATGCGTACAATCGGCACCACATAGAATCGAGTGCCTCATGACCATGGCGAGGGCTTCACTGGCTCATGGACCGCTCTCTCCGCTTGTGGTGTCACAGCTCGACATCAATGCTGTTGATCCTCAAGGCCGAACACCGCTCCGGCTAGCGATCGTGCTTGGTCACGAGGCTTGCGTGCAAGCGTTGCTCGACTGCGGCGCAGAGATTGGCGACGTTGATGCCGAAGGTGGGATAGAGCAACCCCTGCCGTCCCCAGCCCATCGAGCCCATGGCGCATTCACCCTCTGTACGGGAACGCCCTGGACCTTGCATGTTTGCCGCCCCCTGCCCCGCGTCGTCCGTAGGCTGGAGCGCCGTCCACGATGCCACCTGTCGAGGTATAGTCTGCTAGCAAACTAGGGCCTATCTTGCCATGATTTATTCACTGCTGCTCTTCCACACCTTGCGGGACGTTGCCTCGCTCATGTTGGGCCTTTGCGTGTGAATCAGGCAACGCGGGCCTGTTGGAACAAGTCTTGAATAGCCGGAACTTTCGCCTTCAACAGGACACTGAAGATCAGGTCGAGACCCACTGCTCGTGACGTAGGCCAAAGCTCAAGTGCTGTCCCTCTTCTCAGCGCGTGGTCTGACTTTTCTTTTGCCAAATGACTGTGCTTTGTTCCCCCCCGATTCTTCTCTAGGTCTCGGATCTTTTGGCCCTCCTGCGTGATACTCCCGATTTTGAGGTTTGCCCCACATCTCCATGCGTCCTTGGTAGGCATGAGTGCGTAGAGGCCAACTCACGCTCGCACTCTGCCGCTAGATGGACATGAAGTGGGAATTTTCGAGCTGGATTCCGCTCACCTCTTCCCTCTGCCCCAGTGAGCAACACGCTGTTGTGGACGCACAGCCGTACATACCATTGTCAACTCACAAGAGGCATGTGTCGGGGTGCTGCTGTAGGTGACACGTGTCATCTCTGGAAGATCGGCTCCAATCTGCGCTTCGATATGACGCTCTTGGGTTTTGAAAACATGAAATGGGTCCGAGGCCAACGCTCCGTCTGCTTCTCGCTGCCGCAAAGCACCGACCAGAGCTCGGACAACGAGGCCGGTGCCAATATTGAGGTTCGGTACATTGATCACGATACCCAATCGGCCTACATCGAGACCATGGAAGCTCGGCCGCCAAATCGCCAAGCCGACTCCAAGGAAATTCGGGTACGCAATTTTTTTTTTTTGCGAAACGCACACCATCCAACTCAGTTCTCTTGTTGCTTTTGCAGCCGCTTACTCGGGCTTACTCTGTACACGCATGCGCATGGACACAGGCACGCCTCAATGCTCCCGTGACAACCACCAAGATGAGTGAAGATGTCAGTTTTCAGCGGCTCAAGAGCGGCATATGGGGCTTTCAGCGCAACCGGACCGAGAGCGTGGGTCCCTACGAATGTAGCGTCTACGGCACCAATCATCTCACGCTGGAAACGCTTACTCGCCTCGAGCACCTGCCCAAAAACCATCCAGCCCGTCAGCGCTCGAGCAACCCAATTTCAAGCATGATGCGCGCGGCTGGTGGACAAGACAACAGCGACGCAGAGGCACAGGAGGTGGGCTGCTTTGACGCCTTGACCGCTAGTCAAGGCGGTGGCACCGAGGCGGAGCAAGTCGAGGCGCTCGAGACCGAGCATGCCGGAGACCACGGCCTCTCCTTTGAGGAGTACATTGCCACGCCGGCCGCCCGCAAGCGGTTGGTGGTGGGCCGACCACGTGAAGTCAAGCGCAAGAAGCAGACGCTTAATCTCAACATGTGGATGTCGCCGGATTTTCCGCTTTCATTTCGAAATCAGTTGTTGCCGATCCTGGACTTGCTCGCACCCACCAATCGCCATGTGGCCAAGCTGCGCGACTTTGTACATCTCAACCTCCCGGCCGGCTTTCCGGTCAAGCTCGAGGTGCCACTGTATGGCGTGTTGACGGCCCGCACAACGTTTGAGAATTATCGGGCCCTTGACGCCGATGTGCTGGCAGGTGTCAGCACCGACGATCTCTTTGGGGTGCCCACCGGGTATGTTCCAAGGCCTGTCGACCCCTCCTGCGTTGCTCCGCTCTGCGCCAGTTCGTGTGTGTGTGTGTGTGTGTGTGTGTGTGTGTGTGTGCAGCATGACGATACCGGTCGAATCGTACAATTGTGACTCATTCAGCAACAAGAACTCATGGGTCTGGGTGTCGGTCGGATGGCAGGTATCGGCAATTGCTGGCCGGGCAGGCTGAGTTTGGCTCCGAGGATGAACGGATGCTGGCCATGGCATTGCAGGCTAGCATGCACCAGGGTTACGGGGCCGACGAATTCGAGGGCTACTTTGAGGTCAATGGCAGCCTGGGCGATGAAGCCGCCCTGCAAGAGGCAATATTGGCCAGCATGGGAAGGAGCTCGGAGACCATCCAGGGCCAGCCCATGCAACCCGTCACTGAGGAGGAGCTGATTGCTCAAGCCATCGCCCTATCACTCCAAGAGTCCGGTTCTAACTCTAATTCCGCTCCGCCCTCCAACCCTGGTCCTGCTCAGCCAGCTGACCTGTCCTCTTTGTCAGAGGAAGAGCAGATACGCCTGGCCATTGAGCGCAGTCTAAACACCTAGACCTGTGTCTTGGCACTAGGCGGGCATAAGAGATGATAACGACAGCATGCAAATTGTACATGACATTGTATCCGTCGTTCTTTCCTCTTACCAACACCAAAACCCCCACATCCAGCCCGCCCCACATGCAGCTGCTGGCACTGTGACACCGTCACCAACGTTCAGCCATTCGACCATAACAACGACCACGGTCGGTCACACAAGCACAAGCTGACTACAAGGTAGATCCTTTGGCAAATAGAAAATGCAGCAAGTATTCAAGAAATTGTAGCGAGTCAAGCAAAGTACATGGTCAAAATGGTCCAAAAGTCTACGAGGGATACGTACAAGTTGCAGCCGACTTCAAAGCTGTTTCGAGTATTTTCTGCGATTGTTTTGATGTGTGACATGATCGCTGGCAGCGTCGCGGGCGTCGTGGCCGACTTGACGCACACTCGCGCAGCGCTGGGGACAGCGCCGTCTGGGGTGGCCGTGCTTGCGCAGGGCTGGGGGAGTGGGGCAGCATGAACGACAGTAGTGATGGCATGGAGGACGTGCTCGTGATTCACGATGCACTGGGAGGGGATCCGCTGGGCACGCAGGAGTCGGCGCAAGACCCGCGCGCCAGTGATGAGAGTGTGGAGCACTCGTCTTGGGCGCCCGCGCCGCACCCTGAGCAGCGACCTCTCTGCGGTATTATTCCCCGCAATGGCTTTGTCGTCATGTGCATGTTCGTTGCCGCCTTGACCTCTCTCTTACTTGGCTACGACCAAGGGGTCATGAGTGGGGCCAAGCTTTACATCCGTCGGGATCTTGGGCTCAACGACGACCAGGTTCAGCTGGTTGTCGGCATTCTGCACGTGTCTGCCGTTGGTGCCCTTTGCGCCGGCTGGATAGCCGACACGCTGGGGCGCCGCATGGCCGTGGGCTCGGCCTGTGTTCTCTTTCTTGCCGGCGGGCTCCTCATGGCTTTGGCCAATGAGTACACCACGCTCATCGTCGGGCGCGTCGTGACTGGGCTCGGTGTTGGGACGGGGCTGACCATCGCCCCGCTCTACATGGCTGAGCTTGCACCAGCTTCGGTGCGGGGTGCCCTCGTGTCCCTCAACGAAATCAGCATCAACATTGGCGTACTGCTGGGTTACCTCAACAGCTGGGCCTTTAGCGGCCTGCCCGTGTCTCAGTCATGGCGGTGGATGCTAGGTCTGGGCTGCCTGCCACCGGTTGTGATTATGGTGGCGCTCTTTTTCATGCCCGAGTCGCCCCGATACCTTTTGCGGCGGGGCCGCCGCGACGAGGCCTTTCGTGTGCTTGCCCGGAGCTGCCCCGTGGACGAGGCCAAGGCCACGCTGGCCACCCTCGCAGACGAAGCACAGCAACCACTCGGCTCTTGGCGCGATCTGCTCTCGCCATCCATGCGTGGCGCTCGCTGGTTGATTCTGGCCGGCGTAGGCGTGGCCTTTTTTCAGCAAGCCTCGGGCCTTGAAGCTCTGGTATGGTTCATGTTGGGGGAGAGCGCACTTGTCTTTGTATGCCAGGCGGACGTGTCTAGGACGCTAGTTGGTAGATCAAGAGGAGTTGGGGAATTTGGAGAATGAAAGATGCATCAAGGGTTGGACTGTGACACGGGCCATCCGTGCTGTCCATGTGTGGTATGAGGGGTTTTTTTTTTTTTTTTTCCCCAAGATGCTGCCGACTCATCGTACCCATTCGCTTGACTTTTTGGCAGCTGTACTATGTGCCCGAGACGCTGGCGCACGCGGGCATCACGAGCCTGGAGCATCAGCTCTTGATCAACATGGCCGTGGGCGGTGTCAAGCTGCTGTCTGTGCTGATTGCCATGTGCTTTACCGACAAATACGGCCGTCGAACATTACTGATGGGCAGCGGGGTTGGGATCATGCTCTCCTGTCTGCTGGTGGCCATCTCTTTTGAGGCGGGCGATATCTTGGGCCTGACCCTGCTCGGCATCTTTCTTTTTATGGCCACATTCAGCTTTGGCTTTGGACCGCTGACCTGGGTGGTCTCCTCCGAGGTCAGGGACCTTGTCCTTGCTCTCTTGTTGCCGCATCTCCAGGGCAAAAGCCGTATCTCCAAGCCAAGGCGGTTACGCATCGTTCGCAGGGGATGCTCACGTTGGGGTTCGACTTGATGCTCGCAGATCTTTCCGCTGCAAGTCCGGGGGCCAGCCCTGGGGCTGGCCACCTTTGTCAATCGTGTGGTCAGCGGGATCATCACCAGCACTTATCTCTCCATGGCGCAGGGGCTGACGCCTGCTGGCTCCTTCTTTCTCTTTGCCGGCTTGTCCCTGCTCTCGGTGGCGTTTGTAAAGTTTGTGGTGCCCGAGACCGGTGGGAAGACGCTCGAAGACATTGAAAGGGATGGTGCATACACTCCGGAAGCATCTTCTTCGCACTTGCCTGTATCGAACCCAGCCGAGCCCCCTCCGAGCGATGATTCCACAGTGTGACAGGGCGAGTTTCAGCCAAAATGTTTGCCGCTGTCGTAATTGACCGCGGAGCTGTCTTTTCATTCTCCGCTCCTATGTGAATCATAAAGTTTAATCGTCTATGAGCTGGTTTTAAACTGTCAAGCCAACATCGTTACACGGACGGTGTGTATTGATGAGCGTCGAGGGGAAAGGTGCCAGGTTTGGGCGGACGCGTCATGGCCTCTTTCCCGTGTGACTCTTCTTGACAAAGAAGAGGCAACAACATCATACCCGAGCACCAAGTGATGCCTGCGACCCAGTGGTCCAGGGCCGGCTTTGATCGACGGGACCACAAGGGACGCGGAGACCTGTTGAGCCCTACAACCGTCAGACCCACAACCTGTGTTTCTCGTCGATACCCATTGACCCTGCAAAACCAGAGCAAATGTCACAGTTTTAGCTTGCTTTCAAGCCATGACGTGCAACAACATGGGAAACACCCTTTTGGCTGTTTCGTCATGATCTGGGCTGTTGTGAGAGAGGTCAAGCGAGAGGTCAAGCGAGAGGTCAAGCGGCGAGAGGTCAAGCGGCGAGAGGTCAAGCGGCTTGTGTGTGCACGCGCGAGACAGCAAATTGCAATTCGAAGAGCTTGCCAAGACAAGGAGGCTTAGCAAAGGCCAAGCAAGGTGTCAAGGGCACAGGCAGTGGAGGAGTCAGAGAAGAAGAAGAAAAAGAGGCGGAGGCCAAGGGAGCAGGCCCTTGAAAGAGGGCGTGGCCATCAATTAAACTCCTCTGTCGGAATTGATGCTGAAGAATTGTATGTATATGTAGCATGTAGTCAGCTTGTTGAAGATTTATTACAATATACCTTGGATTCATGTTTAGAATCTGATAAGTTCATGTAGAAAAGATTTTAGTTTATGAAGCATTATTTATGGTTTTTGCACACCTTTTTTCCCATCATGCTGATGTTCTCAAAAAGAAAGGTGTCCATCTTTGTGAGCGATTTGACAGTTTCGACCAATTTGGTGGTGGTCATCTTGAGATTTTGATTCGATTCGATTTGACGCCTTTGGCCTGCTCTTCTCTTCTTCCGCGGCCTTTTCTCGTTGCAAGCGAGGGCACAGGGTGCGCGTGTCTGTCTGTTCTTGGACCGCATTGCTTGTTGCGGGCGGTCGAGTTGGTGTCGGGCTTCCGTCCGATCACCACCACCTGATCGCGCGGATACGAACGTGCCGCTGCCGCGCCCATCAAATCCCTCCTTTTGGACTGTTCGCTCGCGCTCACGCTCGCCAACGTGGACACACGGCGGCGGGCACGGGCGCGAGCCTCTTTTCCCAAGTCTTGATTTCTTCTTCATCTCCTTTTGAGCAATCAGCATGATGCACACACTCGCAAGGCTCGTCTTGGTACTGGCCGTGGGGGCGAGCTTGAGCACCAATGCGCCGCTTCTTGAGGTCGACCTCAACGGCAACGTTCACATCAACAGCACTCAGCCTTATACCACACGCGTGTTTGTCAATGGCTGGGATATCGTCCAGGAATTGGTCATGTTGCGGGTTGATCTGGAGGATCTGGGCGGGGTTGTTGCTCCGGCCTCCGCCGCGCCCACCATTGGCCCAATCGTGCCTGGTGAGATCATGGCCGCAGCTGTCTATGCCGATGTGGACGGTAACCTTCTGATTAACAGTGTGAGTGGCCAGCGCATCTTTTGCAATGGCATCGACATTCTCGACAGCCTCAGCAATCTACATCAGACCGTCCTAGACCTCCAAACCACCAATACGCTGCCCACGACCATGCCCACGCTGCCCAGCACGAACACCCCCATCGCAGTGGCCACAACGCGAATCCTGCCCGACAGTGCGGGTAACGTGCATGTCAACTCGACTGGTGCTGGTGCTGTCCTGCTCAACGGGGTGGATGTCCTTGACCAGCTCGAACAGTTGCGCGAGGCCGTGTTTGTGCTTCAGCAAACCACCACCACCACCACCACCACCCCTCTCGTGCACGCCGGAAACGTTGCCTGCAGTTTGGCTATTGATCCCTGGGCCACCCAGATCACGGGGAACGTGGACTTGTCTTCCTGCTCAACCCTTCAAGATGAAGATTTGTTGGTCTTGAGCAACGTGACTCGCATCGGCGGGTATCTGCGCATCAAAGTCCGTTGCATGCCAGTTGCTTACCCTTTTGGTGTTGCAAACCGTCCGTATTCTGGCGCATCTTTGTCCCTCCGCCATTTTGGCACTCGGTCCAATGCCCACCTTGCTTTTGCGTCTGCTTGCTATAGGACATTGCTGGCATCACTACCCTCTCCGGCTTGGAGAAAATTGAGCACGTATCTGGCCTCTTGGAAATTACGGTAAGGCCTGCTCAAGTGTTTTTTTATTTTTATTTTTATTTTTATTTTTTGCTTGTTATTGTGCCAGAAGTCAAGTTGCAGACCCAAGGCGTCATGCGCTCATCGGTATGGGATCGCAATGTAGAGCAATCCCTCGCTCACAAACATCGACGGCTTGATCAGCCTGAGCTACATTGGTGGATCGGTGACCCTCCATGTCAGTCAATCAGCACACCCAACATAAGTTGT